TCACCATTAATCAACATGTTGATCATCTATAATAATCACCATTAATCACCATTAATCACCATGATGATGGTTGATAATCGTGGGTCTGATTTTGGGGTGTACCCCAATTTAAGACAAAACCGATGCTTACCCAAAAAATATGTATGTGAACACATGAGAGGTGTCAGCATTGCTGCGCGGCAAAACAGAAGAGCTAGTGGTCAAGACAGAAAACGAACTGGTCACCAAGCCGTAATTACCCTCACGTTTTTGGGATACCCAATTTTTACTCACAGCCGTAAGAAAATGAGTTGGTATGGCCCAAGGAGTTTCAACTCATCAACACCATGGATGTGTCTCTTTTCATTTTTGTTGCGGTTGACTTTAGAGGCAATCTCTCACTTTTTTTCTGGGGACCCTTCCTTTATTACCCTAGTTCATCCACCAGTGTTGATTTTCTATGAAGGCCGGCAGAAAACGCACACATCTTTATATCATCCCCGTTTTAGGGAGACCAAATTCTATCCAGAATTGGGGGTTGACATGATTTGGGTTTGGGGTCAGATTTAGGTACTTCAAAAACAACAGATGGTATTTGGAATTGGCCAATCTGTGATACCTAAAAGGCCCTGATTTGTGAATACCCGATGTTTGATGTTGAAACCCACATGGTTTCACGTTTTGTGTGTGTTATTGATCCCGTTTTTGGATTGAAAAAAAACTGAATCCAATTCTGTATGTTACGTTCAGATAGGTGAAATCACCACGTGTGTAGGTGAAAACATCATGTTGCAACTGAAAACGCAAGTGTCTTCATTAAATCACAATGGTTTCCCATTCATGTGCCACAGGAAGGGGCCCGCTAGGAATCTGTGGGTACACATACCTAGGTTTATTAGCAAGGATGGTTTTGTGGGGAAATATGTATATATATATATATATAATTGTTTGCATGTACACTATATAAATGGTGTTATCAGGGACAGGAAGGGCTCCCGCAGCTATGTCTGTTGGTTTACATTAGCCAATTTAACTAGTTTGATTGTACATTTATCCTAGCCTGTTTTCTAGCTACAAAAAAAAACAATATAAATCCCAGCCTTTGTTGGTTAAAAACACTCTTCCCTTCATGTTTGACGTTTGAATCTCAATCTTCCCTTTGCAAACGTGGGATCTTCTGACCTGTCACGAAACCAACAAGTTGCTGCTGCTCCACTGTGACGATCCTGGAGGAAAGGTATGTCTGACAGGGCTATCTCAGTGTTTGATATACCCTCTGGTAAACTAACATAACTATGGAAAATCACCATGATTAATGGGAAAACTCACTATAAATGGCCATTTTCAATAGCTATGTTAGTTTACCAGAGGGTACAGCTGTTTAGAAGGTGTTTGGAAGGATCTTGGAAGGACATTCTACTTGCTTGGGCAATAATCAGGGGAGAATATAACTAACATTAACTAACCATAGTTGGAAGGTTATAACCCAACTTATGAGGGCTATTGCCATGGCGACATAACCCGTGGTAATCCACCACACTTTAGTAGGATATCCCCCAAAATCGAATGTGGAACCCCGAGATTGGAGGTCCTCTCCAGTATCAACATCGCCTCTTTGTTATTTAGGATGATGCAAAATGACCCCAAATGGTTGGTAAATGGGATGGTCTATGGCATTGTGTTTACCTCACTTAATCGAACTCCTGGCTGGGCAAAACCAGGGGGTGAGTATCCCTTGATAGATATGCAGCAAGGGTACCAATGTACGTCCATGACTCTCAGGGGACAGTGTAGCCCAGTCGATGTTGAAAATAAAAAACATGTGGTTTACTATAGGTTCCTGTTGAAGGGGTTCTTACATGTTCTTACTAACTCACGATTTCGCTTGAGGTCCAAAACTTCTATATACTACAAGCATTCATGTCGAAGTTTCAAGGTGAAACACTAGACAAGTGCAAAATCCAAAACTTGGGATCATGACCCCAGGTTGTTTTCGGGCGCTTAGTTTTTTTCCATTGTCAGAAATGATGTCACTATCCAATTTAGTGGAGTATCGCCCCATTCCATGATTGTTCACACGTGAACATGCCGATTTAACCCCAGTTCATGTATTTTTTCCATCGTTGTTGTTGCCATTTCATGGTGAAACATCATGTTCCCATATGTTACCAATATTCCCATTGAACTGCGGGTTCGGTTCCACTTCACCAACTTGCCAAGGGTCAGCGTCTCCAACCTCACTCGGTCAGCCTGTGAGAAAAGTTGGTTGAGATCAATAGGCTAAGGGCTGGATTTGTGGTGTATAAATAATCGTATATATAATATGCATGGTGTTGATGTTGTTCAACTATCTTTACCTATCTTAGAGGAAAAAACAAGTATCTTATAACTGGGGGCCTCACCTTGTAGCAAGCCGTTTCCAACTTTTTTTGAACATGGCTGGATCATTCCCTTCGCCTCTCAGGAGGGATTTTCCCATCGTGGAAGATGGCAGGTCCTTTGTTGGCTGGACCCCCTCAAAAACACATACATAATTGTATATTGTTGTATATACATATATGATATGATACATCATGATACAGTATATATCTTGATGTGATGTAGTGTGGTGGTTATACAACTTGCTACACCCTCCCGTTATCTCTAATGATTTATAAGCCACAAAAAACTGTAAGATACTCTAGCCATAGTTATATCTATCTTAAAGCATAGTTAATCTATAATTATAAAACAATTTAGCTATCTAGGGGCCCCAGCAAATACCACCTTTAATGGGACACGCAGGAAAACCACCGGTCCCAGCCGCCTCCACTCGATGAAGGTGCTTCTTTGCCTGCGGAAAGGCACCAGGCATCAACATGGGATGAGGTTTCTGTTGGCTTTAGAACTAGCCAACCTGTGCGTGCATGGTGGATATATATATATATATATCATATTATATATATAGTATCATATTATATATATATAGTATCATATTATAAGTGTTATTATTATTGTGATTATATATATATATATATATCATTCAAAACATGTTTAAATATTGTATATATATATATAGGTCGATGGGGTTGTAAACAAACGTGTAGCTTGGGCCCTACCTGAATGATGCTGGGACAATTAGAGCGATGAATTGTTTGAATGAATGGCTACTACTTAACCTACATATATAAACTTTGAAATTATCGCTTTCATGGTTCTGATACACCATGGTCGGCTTCATATAACTGCGAATCCTAAAGTAAATACAGACTTCCGGAATCAATGCCAAATCATCATCCGTATACAATTGATGGTGACCACGACGGGGCATCCCACACTTGTCTTTAAACTCTGGCAATATGCACAGAAAAATATGCAGAAACAGGCATCGATCACTTTCAGGATCCAATGACATTGGGTTTCTGTCGGATTGGAAGTTCCAATATGATGTTCCAATCATATCCTCATCATGGGAATCTGACCATGAAATACAATCCGAAAAGGGGACATGATTGGATTTTCAGGGAATAATTCGTCTTGGAGCATCAGAATCCCTCTTTGGAGATGGAAAGCGAGCACATGCATCCAGCAACCAAATCAGGTATTTCCTTTTGCTATAATTAGTACACCTCCACGTAATCCAGTTATGACCCATCAATTACTATAGGGATTGTGTATGTATATATATATGTATGCATAAAAAAAACAATAGGAATATCAACAGTGATAATAAGAACAATATTAGCAATCACATTAATATTGAAACACACTATAGCATATTATCTTATATTATGTTATATCTCATATATATATGATATTATTCTATGTTATTGATGTATTATGGTGGTATGTATCTTATTAAATTCATAATTGGATTGTATCATGATTGCAGTATCTTTTATTATACATACTATGATAATGCTCAACTCCATCAGTCACCCGCATTCTGAAAAAAAATAAACCGCGAATCACGCGCCTAAAAATACGTTACCTCCAAATTTGATGGTTTGATCATCACTCCCCCACCAAAAGAAAAAAAACATGGCCAGTTAGGATATCCTCCATTTTCATACACAACCAACTATCAAATCAAATTGGTTATACATCCCATTATATCCCCGTCAATTATCCTCTGTACGTATATTATATATATGTATATAATAAACATATAATAATAAACATATAATAATAATGATAATAATAGTAATAATAACAATAATAATGATAATAATCTCAATAATAATAATAACAATAATAATAGTAGTAATAATAATATTTGTTTTTATATTTATAATATTATGTCTCGTAACATTCCTATATTGTCAATGGCTAGGTCAAACTTTTCCAACACACCCTGATATCATATTCTTAGCAAATTGGTTGCAGGTTCCACTACAGTAAATCCCGTGTCGATCATGTTTCACCAACAGGGGGGGTTCCTAAATTAAATATGGGTGTCTCTAAATCATCCACATATGGTTTAATAGGATTTTCCATTATAAAAGGATTTTTCATTATAACAGGATAATCCTATAAACCATGGTTCCCCAAATAATGGTATATTGGGATTTTCCATCAAGAACGCATGCATAGTGGAGGTACCTCCATTTTAGGAGTTTACCCCCAGGTGTCCGGGTCTCCCCATCAATGTGCTGGGCGCACATCTTCCTCTCGCAACTTGCTACTTGAGAGCTCTGCCTGCAGCGCAGCGCAGCTGGCCGCAGCTGGTGGAAGATTTATGCTGAACGACTCCAGGAACGACGTATCTGATAAATGGCAAAAAGAAAAAAACAACTTCCTGAGTTTCCTGCCAGTTTTCCACATGTTTCCCTCAAACCCAATGATATATAATATATTCATAATATATATATATATATCATAATGATAATGATACTAGTATAGATTGATACTAGTCCAATTTCAGCCTGTCAGGAATGAAACCGCCACTTTCACAGCAGTGATCCCAAAAAAATATTGCGCTGTCATCCCCAACTTGGATGGCCATCAAACGACAGCGAACCCCCAGGGAACCATTTTCAGCGCTATCTGTAGCCGACCATGGCAGAGTGTGGAACACCCTTGCCACCAACTGGTAGGCCATCTTTCAGCAAAGGGAATCGTTTGCCTGCCCGTATGAGACGTCGATGATGGCTAATGACTATGATCATAATATCATAGCACAGTATATCATAGTACAGTATATCAAAGTAATATGATTTACAGTATATTAACTTTTTTTTGTATACTGTGTATCATTCTCACTATCATCATGATGAGAATAAGGAGAAGGTGGAGGAATGATGAGGATTGTGATCCAGGCGGGACTTCCGCCAGCTTGCCACTGTAGGACCGGGAAGATTAAAGATCGGGGGTAACATTCATCTGTGGTTGTCATTGAACATCACCCATAAAAACCACAAACCAATGATGATATTCCAATGAAATATCTTTATAGTATATCCTCATTATATCTTCCTGCAAGGTGGCCCCCCAGTCATATTCGTTGATTTATAACCCGCATGTTACATCTACCAACAAACAAGAGAATTCACCTAGTCAACTAAACCAAATTAGCTACAAAAAAACAACTCTGCGGTTTCAACATAAGGGGGGGCCGCGAATGTGACTTAACATTTGTGACATTAAACATTTCCCATGGAATGCAATTATATAAATTACTGGTGATATTCCCGTGAAATATCCCAATATACCCTATGGTATTTTAACATAGCTATTGAGCATGCTCCATAGTTCGATAATCAAAATGAGAATTTGCCTACTAAAAATGCTGATGTCCCATAGTTCAATATCCCCATAATATCCCCACTGTGGGTAAACCCAATGTCATAAACTATCCCCATTCATCACCACAAATGGGTGGTATAAACCTCAAAAATGGGGTATCCCCATAATATCCCCCCTATTCCAGGCTGAAGCAACTGTGAGTCCTGGCCTTTGCCCTTGCCGCCATCAATGCCCTTCCCGGTGGCCAAGCCCATACGACGCCAAAAACCCGGCTCTTCCTGTGGCGATGACCGGTTTTCTCCTTTGGAAGAACGAGTTCTTCATGAAAAATGGTGCATTCAGCAAGAAGAAACTGTGATTTACACAGTTCCAAAGTAAGATGGCTCTGCCATTTACAAAAGTGCGCGTAAAGATGGCGCCGACTTTTGGAAATTTGACTCCTCAAAAGGGCCTGACATCTCATTGCCCCGTTTCATAGTTGGTTGCGCCATCTATGCCACGCAAACCTGAAATCGAGATGTTTGATGTTTGTTTTTAATGTTGCTCCCACTGACTACCATGCAAAACCTTTGAAATGTCTCCAAGCTGGGGGTTGCGCCATCGCACCATCTATTCCTGCATTTTTGGGTTTTGGTTGGGTTTGCAGCTCTTGCCACAGGAATGCGGAACGTATTCCCGCGGTGCTTTGGAAGATTTCTTAGGGATCCCGCCTTTTCAGCTGTGTTTTGAGGTGACTTGCAGCCACTTTTGGGGGTTGCGCCATCTATTCTTACATTTTGGGGTTTGGGTTTGCAGGTGTGCCCACGGGAATGCACCGTCTATTCCTGTGGTGTTTTGGTGGATTTTCTTAGTTCCGCTTAGCAGAATTGAAAAATTCTTTTGAGGAATTTTTTTTGTCCCTTGCAGACCTGTACGAGAAAATAACTTGTTTGCTTCGCAACGAGTTTCCAAAATATCTGTATCATAATTGGTTCCATATGACAATGGTGGGAAAACAGAATTCTAAGTTATTTCCATTTAAAATGTTGATGATGACTGAACCAGCTAGCCAGGTGACTTGGTGATTTTAACCCGATTATTATTGCATATTTTCATGTAACTTTATCCCAAGTCAGGTTTCAACGAGAAAAGGCACAAGTTTGCACGAGATTCCAAAATAAGTCTTCTAGGTCTAGCGCCGCTGCTTTTTTCAACCCAAGCACAGGTTCCATGTCTGGAACTTTAGCTAATCAATTTTTAAATTCTTTGGCCGAGGCAGCCAAAAGAATGACTGCAGCTAAATTTGGCCAAGCCGTTGGACCCTGAGGCCGAGGCAGCCTTTAGGGCAAACCTCTGATGTTTGGACGTCGTTATTTTCAGTAAACCACCGCATGCCTTTGCGCTGGATCATCTCTTGGCGAGCTTGAAAGCCAACTTCCAAACCTTTCTCGATCGACACTTCTTCAAATAGTTGTATTTGTTCATGAGCAAAAGGGGTGGCATTTTAGTCTAACAAATGGTTCTGGATTTGGCGCATCGGCTTCGTAAGGACAGGAGCTGCTGGCTTCTTTTGCTTTGGGGCTGGCACTGCCAACATGACGACTGACAAACGGTTATATATTATTTTGCTTTAGTCCAAACACGGCTGGGGAAATCCCAGATTTGACCCTTTTGATTCTTGCGTGTGATTGTCGTCTGTGTGTGTGTGCGCGTGCATGCATGCGTGAGGTAGCTGCTGAAGCGAAACACATGCAGGAAACCTTTTTACTCCCGCTCGCACGCTGTCAAAATTTCGGCAACCCATGGCCGTGTCAAGTGATTTTGAAATCTTGGCCGTGTCAGCCAATGTTTTCTTCGCCGTCATTCAGTGGATCCCAAATGTCTTCTTCTTCCTGCTCCTGCTCCTCTTGGTCCTCGTCGGCATCCTTGTCTTCGCAGCCGCCCGCGTCCTCCTGGTCCATTTCAGCGGCCTTCCTTTTCTGTCCTTTTGCCTTTCCTTTTGCTTGTGCTTTTCCTTTGGATTTTGGTTTTGGCTTGGGCTTCGGAGTCGCATTCGAATTCTGCGGGCTGGCCGAGTGGAATGGCTTCTCTTTTCGAGTAAACCAATTCACCTTTGAAATGATTTTCACCGCATCTTCGCCATGCAGCCTGCCACAAAAGCAGGAAAGCCCATGCTCCTTCCATCGTCGCCTTGTAGATGTCCTCGCCTTCGTACTTGAAACTCCCATACTTGGTTATAAGACGCCACCGCAGTCGATACAAAGCATGGGCGCCCACCCTGACTCCATAGGGTTTGGCATACCCCCAGACCGAACCAGTCTGTGAGGTATATTCCAGGCAGAAACAGCCTGTGATAGCAGGCCAAGTCAGCCTGGGACGTTTCAAGGTTTAAGCCGAAACAGCTTATTACCTTTACACACTGTGTAGCCTGTGAGCCGAAAACAACGAGAAACGACTTGAGTGAGGCTTCTAAGGAGAGGGCTAACAGTCCTCTCCTTAGATGCCGCACTGACAGCAGCGAAGTGTGTAAGGAGAGGGCTGTGAGAGGACTATTTGAAAAATGCTGTTTTGCTTTAAGGAATTTTTTCAATAGTCCTCTCACAGCCCTCTTCTTACACAGCTCACTGACAGCAGCGCGGCGTTTAAGGAGAGGACTAACAGTCCTCTCCTTACACCACCGTTTTTGTAAATTCAAGGACAGCAGCGAATTACAAAATTACGTTTTTTAGGTTTCGTTCTGCTCAACGGAATTTTTTTCCGAAATTCAAGGACAGCAGCGAATTACAAAATTACGTTTTTAGGGTTCGTTCTGCTCAACGGATTTTTTTTTCCGAAATTCAAGGACAGCAGCGAATTACAAAATTACGTTTTTGAGGGTTCGTTCTGCCGAACGGAATTTTTTTCGAACAGATTTATATTTCAAGCTTCGTATAAAGCATTGTTCAGTTCATGTTTGTGTCTCTGAGGATTGCTTTGGATTATTTGGTTTGAATTTTCTGAACGAGTTTTTTGAAATTTTCAAAAATGTTCAAACTTCAAACTGCCGAATCCTTAACGACGACCAGTCGAATGGCGAATTTCAAAAAAATACCGAAGGAGAAAAAAAATCGAATGACGACGACACTTTCTACATTTCCAGAGATAAATGTCTCAGACATTCCTGTGCATATTTTTTTGGGGGACAGCCCTGCATCATTTGGCCGAAGCAGCCAAAGGATCCTAAAAAACAGCATCATTTGGCGTTGACATGACGTCTATAGTTTTTAAAGGAACAAGGAACTTCGCTCTGGTAACAAGTATAAGTGAAATATCAAAGACAGTCAAGCCAGGAAAACAAAGCCAGTCAAAAAATTGATCCTTGAAGCGCCTTTATTTCACGCGGCCCCATGTCAAGCGTGACGATGAATTAGACTTTGGCCGAAGCAGCCAAGCTGGCCGATGCAGCCAGTCCAGCTGAAACTGACTAGCAAGGAATTGTTTTTTCTCGCTGATCAAGCCTGCGGCAAACATGGCTTCCTGCATGATTTCTCCTATCAGTGGCACAGGAACACTATTGCCTATCATTTTACAAAGGTCTTTCTCCGACACATAGTCAAAACAAGCTTCTGGTGCTTCATAAAGTTTTCCTTTTGAATGCCAGCTTCTGATGTCACTAAATATTGCGCAAGATTGCCCATGCAACCTGCTGACCGACAAGCTTTGCAACCAATTCCCCATGGTTCGTCTTGCTCGTCTAGCCATGACCCCAAGCTGACATTAGAAGTGTCTAAAGGAAAGCTGCTCTGCCATTTTGCTCCCAATTTCCTCCATTTCCGCCTGGCCCCAACAGCCCCGTCGGCTTCAGCTGTCACTGCCAAGCCTTCAAGGAAAGCCGGAGCAGCTTTGCCTTGAAGATTGGGTGCAAGGGAAGCTGTTACAGCTTCACCTTGAAGGGGCAAGCTAGGTTTCAAGAGCCAAGAGCAAAGGTCAAACGAGGTTTTGAATTATTTTTTCCTCTTGGAAAATATCTCCATGATCTGGTCAACAAGATTCTTGTTCTTAAACATGGCACTATGAAATCAATATCCATTTGCTCAGTTTCTTCCAAGATGGACAATGCGGATGTGGGACAAGGTTATTATGAAAGTATATTGAACGTGACGTAAAGGTACGAAGTAGAATTACGAGAGCAAACGAGAAATGAAAATAAGTTTAAAAGCAACAAACGAGAGGAAACAAAACACAATAAAAATGACAAAGAAAAAAATCCAAAAAAGAATTTTTCAATTCCGCTAAGCAAAGCCAAGTTTTCTGCAAATCCTGCACTTTCAGCAATTTGTTGTTGGACTTGCAACCCTTTTTTGGGGATTGCGGCAATGTATTAAGGTGACTTGAAGCCCCTTTTGGGGTTGCGCCATCTATTTCTGCTTTTTTGGGGTTTGGTTGGGTTTGCATGTTCTCCACAGCATTTTGGTAGATTTCTTTGGGATCCCGCCTTTTCAGTCAGCTGTGTTTTGAGGTGACTTGCAGCCCATTTTGGGGGTTGCGCCATCTATTCCTGTATTTTTAGGTTTGGCTTGGTTTGCAGGGGGAATGGAACATCTATTCCCGCAGTGTTTTGATGCTTTTATTGTAAATGCTTCCATTTCTGCACAGCCCCAAAAAGGGTTGCGCCATGTATTCCCAGGTTTGGGGTTTTGGTTGGGTTTACAGGTGTTCACACAGGAATGGAGCATCTATTCCCGTAGTGTTTTGGTGCAGTGTAGATCCTCCCCCTTTCTGCATTTCCCTTCACCCTCTTTAAAGCGCCGCTTACCGTCCGCTTACACATCTATTCTGACATATGGGTTATTCCCTTTTGGGGCATTGTTTGCAAGACTTTTCAAGAGCAACTGGATGGCACTGTCCCAGGTGGTTGCGCAATCTATTATACATGTTTGTTTTGCCTTCAAAACTTAACTTCGACCGGCCGAACCCTTTTTCATCAAAGTTTTGATGACCAAAAATCATTTCCCGAAAGAAGGATTTTAAATTTAAAATGGGGTAGATGGCGCAATTTAAGTGCATTTTGCACATGTATAGGGTTGCGCCATCTTCAGGCACATTGGCTGTTTCGGGATGTTTCGGGTTTTTTTTCACTGAAAATGGATGGCGCAACCACCTCTGAAAAAGTTGGGCGGAGCCAAGCATGTTTAACCCAGAGTAATATGGTTTAATGTGACTTGATCATATTTGATCAAGAGAGAAGGGAGAACACATATCGTCTTAGCTAAGCATAATGTGTAAACAATCCAACCTTGCCCATTTTAAAGGGATATCAAAGGGATATATGGGACACACATATATATATAATATAACCAACCCTACAAACTGTGATTTAACAGTGATTTGACATTTAACAAACATTTTTTTAGAAACAATTGCTATGTTTCACAAAGTGGTTAAGGTTCAAATTAGAGGATTCGATCTACAAAATATAAAAATATCAGCTGGAGGGCTGGAGACGTGAGTTTCAACTACTCTAATTGGGTAAAATCATTTCTGACATTTCATCCTGGATTTCAGACGGAAGTTTGCGCATGATGCTTCTACACCGTTAGCTGCTCGTGTGTGAACAAAAAAAGTGGCCCTCTGTACAAAAAAATGCCGACTTGTTCACTAGGTTGATTGATTATTGTACATGTCAATCAGTGTACCGGATATTGCATCTCTTTCCAGTTTGTCATGCATCAACTGCGTAGGGGTCAAAACTCGGAAGCATTACAATTGGATGGTTAATTTCCGAAAACAATAAACACAATTGGTCTTAAATTTTGACCTATGCCTGGAGGCACCAGTGGGTTTGTGAAAACAAAGTACATTAATTAATTGTTCCCCGTTCCAACAAATCTGCATCATGTCCTTCTATTCAAGTAACAATTGTATACATGTTTCTTGACAGATTACAACAATTCACCAAACAAATGATAATATATAATATATAATAGGTCTAATATTTGTGGACAAGTTTCCATCAGCTATGATAAGGTACCCCTAATGTTGATGGATCAACATCATCCGGCTGAAACTTACAGTGGGTGTAGGTACATCCAATTATTTCCCCATCAATATCCCATGATATCCCTATAGGCCTATATATATATAACATAGATCCGTTGAAATCCCTAAATATGTGTATATATTGTGTATGGCCAAGCCATCGTTTTCAGACGCACCCGAATATAATATTCACAACTTGGTGACATATTCCATTCATACCCCATTAAGTTGATGGTTATATACCCCTTATTTTAAAACAAACATCCACAAGATCTATTAGTCAAAACTGCAATATTCACAGGTTAAACAAACATTGTTGATGATTCAACCATATTAAAGGACGATGTTGTTTGCCATGTTCGAACATGTCCAGGCATCCAAGTGTGAATTAAGATCATATTAAATCAAAACAAAAATCCATTAGAATCCCATCTGATTGGTGGTTTTAACCATCTTGAAAAATATTAGTCAATAGGAAGGATTGTCCCATATATTATGGAAAATAAAAATGTTCCAAACCACCAACCAGCCATTAGAATCCCATCAGAATGATTCAACCTGCCATGGTTTTTCTTGGACGGCCAGCGGCCTCCACAGGCCGATGAAAGCCCAACTTCTCCCAGTCCACCTGAGGCGTGGGAAGGTGGAAATGACTAGGATGTGTACATATACACATATTCATGCACCTATATATATATATATCCATAGGTTGTATTATACATATATATGTTTGCGTGTATACATATTGTATATATATGTATACATGTACATATATATATATGTATAGAAATGTGTATTTTATAATTAGAGAATGTGATATGCAATAAATTTCAATGATATACAATAAAAGTGAACTTATTCAACATTGAAAAATACCAAAACACAATATAATAGCGCACATATACATACATACATACATACGTACGTACGTACGTACATACATACATACATATATATATATAATATTTGCAAATCCATACAGTATAATAAAATATAATATGAATCAATATGAAATAATTCAAAACAATGTGTATGTATATATCTATATTTACATATTGTATATGGTTTAAATGTGACTGAAAACTGGGCATCCTCGAACATTACCAACATGGGATCTTGAACTATCTTTTTTTTGGCGTAAACTATTTTCAGACAATCCCAAATATGTAAAATTAAATGTATATGTGTGTATGTATATTACAATATATTACATATACATAAGTATACATAAATACACAACAGTATACACACGTATACCGTAAAAGCAACAATACGATGTAGGTGTGGAATCGTTTCGGGCAGTGGGCACTCGGTCAAGCCATTGAGGTAGCAATGGGATATTAAAGGGGATCTTAGTTTTGTTGGGATATTAACTGTAATGGATGAAGCAGTGACTGTGATGCTAAGAAAATGACTGTTATGAATGTTTCTGACCGTAATTGCTAATGAGTAATATTTAAAAACAATAAGTACCAATTGCTTCGTTTTCAAACTTGCAGATAGATAGATAGACCAATAAAAAAAAGAAAAACAAAAGGATAAACAAATATTTATATATAGGTAGACAGATAGATAGACAACTGCAACTGCACTACACCACACTACAACTACATCTTCAACTACAACTACAACTACAGTACCAGTTCAACTACAAGAACTACAGCTACAACCACATTACACCTTCAACTACACTTCAGCTACAACTACAACCTCAACAACAGTTACTACAACTACAATTGCAAGTGCCACTACAACTACAACTACAACTGCAACTACAACAGCAACAACTACTACAACTACACTACAGCTGCAACTGCAACTGCGGCTGCAACTACAGCAACAACTAAAACTTCAGCTACATTACAACTACACTTCAACTACAACTTCAACTTCAACTAAACTACCACAGCAATTACCTCGACACTACACTACAACTACAACTACAGCTGCAACTGCAACTACAACATTACAACTTCAACAACATCAAGCCCACTACAACTACAACTACAACTACAACTACACCTACTGCACTACACCACACTACATCCAGGAACTGTGAGTGAGGTGACCACTGCAACCATTGCAACTATCCAAAAAGCACAACTCCAACCACCTTTCGGTCCATCAGTGGATTCGCTCTGCCATCCATGCATCACAACAACTCACCTCTCCTATAGTGTCCTATCCTTGAAACTTCCGCCACCGACGTGTACGGTACTACGGGTATGATGGTAATAACAATAACTGTGGACGAACTGTAATGAACAATGAACATATGTCCAACAAATCCAAAAATAGTTGCCAGCATGGTGAGCTGTCAATAAGCTCCAAGCTGGTCAAAACAACCACACAAATCCCTGTGCAATCATGCAATCCCATTTCTTGGATGGTCATGTCGATGTTTGGGTGAAGGAAGGCCCCCGCAAGTTGTGATTGCTGGTTTAGTTTCCCAGTTGATGCGAGTTCGATGTACAGTATCCAACCATTTTTACCCATCCTAGTCAGCCGAGGTCGTCCGTTGACCCGCCTGTCTAGTATAAATTAAATCAACTAATATCAACTATATGTGATATATATATATATATATGTGTGTGTGATATATCTAATATCAATTATAGTCACAGATCATTACAAATCTATACAAATCTCAATATGTGTTGGTTAATTACTAGTTTCCTTCAGCTTTGATCGTTAAATCCCAAAGTTCCGAACTTGAGAGCTCCTGTTGATGTTGGAGTGTCCATCCATCTGGGTTTCTCCAGAAACAGGATACAGGATACCCCAAAAACTCAACTGCTTACCCTCTGGTAGTTTAACATAGCTATGGGGAATCACCACTATAAAGAGGCAATCATCGAAGTGTAAATAGGCCTTTTTCCATAGCTATGTGAAATTGCCATAGGCTAATCATCAATGTTTCTTTTGATTTCTCTTGGAAATGGTAGCTTCCACGGTTTTTTGTTCCACATCCCAAACGAACGTCTCGACATCTCACCTTGCCGTTGGTCATGTCATGGCCACCCCTTTGCGCCACATCCATAGGCCTCGTTTGATGGTTTGGGATTTGGATGGAATTAAACAGTGGTTTTAACGTTGAACAACTTTCAATAGATATTGTTTTAAGTGATATGTGAAATCTGAAACATGTTGTTCGGTTCCAGCCTCACTTTCAGCTTCATGGAACTATGAAGTTGGTTAGTTGCTTGAAGTTGTATATCAAATCCAAGGATGATTCTTCCATGGGCTTGCAGCCGTGAACGCTAACTGTCATGCTTAAAATCCTTCGACCTGATCCCTTGTTATGACATCCAAGCTTGGTTCTCCGAAAAAAAAAAGGGTTCTTCCTTGTCTTTTTCAAGCTGTTACCCTTCAGTAATCGAAACTGGAAATGCAAAATCACCCAATTCCTGCAGGATTGCCCATTATACCTAGCATTTTGCTCTGGCTTCTATGTTCTTCTATGCTTGAGTACCACAGATCTAGATAAAGAATTGCAATTTCGCAGCACCTTATTTGGGGATGATTCCCCTCATCCTAACCCATCGAAAAAACATCGTGACAGCGGGACAAACTGAGAGTTGCACAAGGGCACTGGAGAATCCAGGCCAGCATGAGGACCTTAAAATGGCGAACCGCGGAGATTTAGGGTATCACTTTCAGTTTTTTGGGGCCCCACGATTTCTGAAAAGTAACCATTATGCCAAATGCTGGGGTGATGGCAGATATATCGAACTAGAAGTAACTGCGGGAAAACAGGAAGGGGCCCCCCAAAGGTTATGTAACTGCAACTGTTGGTTGATACGTTTTAGTGTTTTCCCATTGAACTAGTTGGATGTGTTGAGCATAAAGCCAACAAACTTTTGCGTTTACCCTGGTGGATTGATGGGTGAATTTCTGAATGTTGGAGACCAACATTTAAACAACTGGTAGAATAGTGCAATCATCGGGATGTACTAGGATATTATATGATATTATATGATATATATATATATACACAGACCAAACTTTGGTCGGACAAAAAGGCAGCGTGGGTGTTTACTTACCTACCATAAATTTGGATCTAACCGAGAAAAACATATATATATATATATATAAATATATATATACATAATATAGTTATATATATATATAACCGTCGGATGGCTTCAAATATTATGGGTGTGTCTGAAAATGGGGATAAGGCACCAAGTCATGGCATTTGGACAGCGAAGTGATGATATCCCCGCTCGTGTTCCCAAACTCCCCATTTTCTGAGCAGTCCTTGAAAACCACCCAGCTTAGAGGAAGAAAGACCACACACACACACTTTTATGCTTACCCTGGCACTTACACTTGCACTTACACACACCCACACACACAAGCAAACAAGCAAACAAACAAACAGAGCAGGGTCCTTTCATAGGTGGCTCCAGTCACAAGCTCTTGTGATCGGCTCAGCATCAGCTCAGCGCGGCACAAGGCGAAATCAAAGTCCCTTTTGGGCCTCCCAATGGATTGGTCGGGAAGATCTAGCGGATCTAAAGGAAACCAGCAGCAACTATCCAAATCCAGGCTTTCTGTAGATTTTCCTGAAAAAACATTTTGGGGATGCACCGAGTTATGAACAAATGGAGAGTTGTAATTACCCTCCGGTCATCAAAGATGGCAATTGAACATACCGAAGCCATAGGATGTCCCTTCGTCACGTTTGATCGGAGGGTCAGCGCACACACCTCAAGGGAAAAAATGATTACAAAAAACAGGTGTAGACAAGGTCGCCAAATATTAATAGCATGTAATAAACATGATTCAACAAACCCGACATGCTTCACTGATTTCAGGGGGGGTCCCCAGAAATCAGCCGTCATTCCAGTGAGGTTCGCCAGTCAGCCTCGGATCTTCTTCAAGATATCTTGGCACCTTGACATAGTCCGATGGCTCAGGATCCAGTCATAACATCAAGATGCGAAATGTTGTCCAAATGATATATATATATATAGAATGCATTGAACATGGCTCGTATTTGTAGGTCATCATTGTCAAAGGAAGTTTAGGGGGAGAAACTTCCGTGTTACGGACTTTTAGAATGTCAGGGAAAGAGTTAGTCAAAGAAAGAGTTAGCAAAGAAAGAGTTCGTCAGGGAAAGAGTTAGTAGTCAAAGAAAGAGTTAGTGAGGGAAAGAGTTAGTCAAAGAAAGAGTTAGTCAAAGAAAGAGTTAGTCAGAGGTCAAAGAAAGAGTTAGTGAGGGAAAGAGTTAGTCAAAGAAAGAGTTAGTCAAAGAAACAGTTAGTCAGGGAAAGAGTTAGTCAAAGAAAGAGTTAGTGAGGGAAAGAGTTAGTCAGGGGAAGAGTTAGTCAAAGAAAGAGTTAGTCAAACAAAGAGTTAGTCAAAGAAACAGTTAGTCAGGGAAAGAGTTAGTCAAAGAAAGAGTTAGTGAGGGAAAGAGTTAGTCAAAGAAAGAGATAGTGAGGGAAAGAGTTAGTCACAGAAAGAGTTAGCAAAGAAAGAGTTCGTCAGGGAAAGAGTTAGTCAAAGAAAGAGTTAGTCAAAGAAACAGTTAGTCAGGGAAAGAGTTAGTCAAAGAAAGAGTTAGGGAAAGAGTTAGTCAAAGAAAGAGATTAGTCAGGGAAAGAGTTAGTCAAAGAAAGAGTTAGCAAAGAAAGAGTTCGTCAGGGAAAGAGTTAGTCAAAGAAAGAGTTAGTCAAAGAAACAAAGTTAGTCAAAGAAAGTTAGTCAAAGAGTTAGTCAAAGAAAGAGTTAGTCAGTTAGTCAGAGAAAGAGTTAGTCAAAGAAAGAGTTAGTCAGGGAAAGAGTTAGTCAAAGAAAGAGTTAGTCAAAAGAGTAGCAAAGAAAGAGTTAGTCAGGGAAAGAGGTAGTCAAAGAAAGAGTTAGTCAAAGAAACAGTTAGTCAGGGAAAGAGTTAGTCAAAGAAAGAGTTAGTGAGGGAAAGAGTCAGTCAAAGAAAGAGTTAGCAAAGAAACAGTTAGTCAGGGAAGAAAGAGTTAGTGAGGGAAAGAGTTAGTCAAAGAAAGAGTTAGTCAGGATATATGAGGTAGTCAAAGAAAGAGTTAGCAAAGAAACAAGTTAGTCAAAGAAAGAGTTAGTGAGGGAAAGAGTTAGTCACAGAAAGAGTTAGCACTGTTCCCTCACTGTAAATGGGATTGCAAGTGGTGCTGGTGGAGGAGTTGCCGATGCAGTTTTGGAGGAAGTCTCGCACGAAATGCGTTTTTGAGAGATAGCAGATGCACGAAAGCCTATGTTTTTCCATACAAAGTCCGTCCCCGAACCTCGATGATCTACCTCTGCGGTGCGACGGGTGCGAGACGGTCTCGTGTGTGGTCGGATCATGGTCGGATCGGTCTCGGATCATGGTCGGATCATGCTCGGATCGGTTCCGCATTGTAAATGGGGTTTCAACTGTTTTTCGTGCATGTGCGGTCGACAGAATTCCATTGTGATTTGCAACTGTAGGATCGTTCCCGCAATGCAAATGGCATTGCAAGTGGTGCTGGTGGAGGAGTTGCTGATGGAATTCCATTGTGCTTTGCAACTGTAGGATCGTTCCCGCAATGCAAATGGGATTGCAAGTGTTGCTGGTGGATGAGTTGCCGATGGAATTCCATTGTGCTTTGCAACTGTAGGATCGTTCCCGCAATGTCTAGAAGGTTTCAAATGCTTCGGTGGACGAGCTGAGGACGTAATAACATTGTGTTTTGCTAGGGATTGTTGCTAATCGCATTGTAATGGCTGCGTGAACTTGCTGCAGCTTGATTCTTTCAGATTTTGCCTGCTTTCATTTTCTATTTAAATTATTTATAAAAAACGCTTCAAAAAGCAACTTTTTCTGCTCTGGCGTCGAGATCCGGTTGTGGAGCTACAATTTCCGCCGCCGTTGCGCGTAGTTCTATTGCGTTTTGCAACTCAGTCTCTGCAGATCGCATTGTAATGGCTGCGTCAAGGTTGCTTTGTGCTGTGGCTGCATTCGTAATACTATTGTCTTTTGCAGCTGGACTTCGTAAATCGTATTGGAGTGGCTACATGAAGGCTGCCACAGTGATTTGTCAGCAGATTTTCTCCATTTTGGCGCCAGTGATTTTCCTTCTAAAAATCCTTTTAAAAAGTGCTTCAAAATCGTCTTTTTTTCGCTCTGGCGTCGAGATCCGGTTTTGGAGCTACAATTTCCGACGCCGTTGTGCGTAGTTCTATTGTGTTTCGCAACTCAGTCTCTGCAGATCGCATTGTAATGGCTGCGTCAAGGTTGCTTCGTGCTGTGGCTGCATTCGTAATACTATTGTCTTTTGCAGCTGGATCTCGTAAATCGTCTTGGAGTGGCTGCATGAAGGCTGCGAAATGGATTTGTTAGCAGATTTTCTCCATTTTGGCACTAGTGTTTTTTTGTTGCACGTAGGTTTAGAGCAGTGTGAAGTGTGGGGCGTAAAGAGTGCAGTGTGAAGTGTGAAGTGTGAAGGAAGCAGTGGGAAGTGAGAAGTGTGAAGTGTGGAGTGTGAAGTGTGGAGTGTGAAGTTTAAGTTTGGAGTGCGAAGAGCGCAGTGTGAAGTGTGAAGTGTGAAGTGTGAGGTTTGGAGTGTGAAGGAAGCAGTGAGAAGTGAGAAGTGTGGAGTGAAGTGTGAAGTGTGGAGTGTGAAGTTTGAAGTTTGGAGTGCGAAGAGTGCAGTGTGCAGTGTGAGGTGTGGAGTGTCGAGGGAAGGACACGGTCGGGACAGGTTGTCTTTGAACTATAGGTCATTTATGTTTGGGAAACTTCCGCCGCCGGCTTGCCCGGGTCTATGTTATATAAGTGTTTTTTAATCAAAAAAAATGGGTTTTCAATCAAGAAGTTTGGGACAACCCAACCTCCCTTTTATCATGTTTTCGATTCGAGCCTCTTGCACTTTATATGGAAACTACTAGGTTGAGGCCTCCCCAAATAGACCAAATTGTGCGACTTCTCACCGCAGTAATGCCACGGAAAACAGCGAAATCTGGGACGCCCGGGCTCATCGAAGGCTTCGCGGGTCATGCGGGGAAGAGCCTGCGGATGTTACAGATATGGAGTCAGAAGCGATGCGATGAATTCTTATGTTTCATAGTTGTGTCATATATATATATATATATATATATTATTGTAATCTAATTGTATAGATATATTAAATTATATTAATATATGTCTATGATGATGATAATAATTATTATTATATCATTATTCTGGTTGGTGGTGCAATAACCATCTTGAAAACTATGAGTTCGTCAATGGGAAGGATGACATCCCATATATGAAATGGAAAAAAAAAATCATGTTTGAAACCACCAACCAGTTATATACCATTTATAATGGTTAATAAGTTATATATAAATCCCTATTAAATCCCTATTACTGTAAATCCCTATTAGTTGCTGGTTCCAAACCACCAACCAGCCACCATTTCACCCCGAACATCCCGTCTGGGAGGAAACCTCGAAACCACTGGGAGTCCGCTTTAAAAAAGGGGATTTTCTGGATGATCCTGGATGGTAACCACGGTAACCACCAAACATTTTCTGGATGATCAATTTGTTTGAGGATTTTGAAGATTTTCTGGATGGTCAAAGATTGTTTTTAACCAACAAACAAATGGTATTTTATGGGCTTGTTTGTAATCAATCACCATTTTCTGGATGATAAACCGTGGTGTATCATGGATTTTAGGAGGATTTTACTTGTCTATTGAAACCACCCAACAGACATCGAGAATCATCGAAACATACAGTATAATTTGCAAAACAAACAACCCAATGCTATATACTATAAACCTATATAAACCTACCATTTGGGAATGGTTTCTTGATCACCACTATAGTTTATGTTTGGGTCTGGGGCCTTGTAGGATTGTTTAACCTTGTTGGTTGGCCCCTGAGAAATCACCAGCTTGTTTTTGATGGCTGGGCTGAACAATAGTGAAGTATACATATATACTGTGTGTATATATATATTATATTATATATGTCCTGTTCATATATATATATATATATTATGTATATATATTATATATAATATTATAATATCCATCGGGAACCCAAACACTCCTTTCTTTAGGCAGGATGAACACCTTGAAACATCTACTTCCGAGGGTGTTGTTCAATCGCTACCAGGTTACCTTGCCGGTTGGTGACCCCCAAAAAGATAGATTTTCGTACAATCCTATTCATACAATTACTGCAATTAAAATGATAGTGATAAGTTTAGGTCATGTTTTCTATCTTTTTTGGGGGGTTTCAAAAACTGTTCGATCAGCCATTCTCCCCAGAAAGTTCCCCATGCCTTGGAAGCTGCGAAGGAGGCTTGGTAGAAGCGCTCGGCACGGACCTGACCAAGTGCCGCTGGGAAGCCGAAGGACACAACTAAAATAAAGCATGTGTGATATATAAATGTATGTAGGTACGTAATATCATACAACTATATATTTATAATATAATTATATAGATATTCACGTACACTTGTAATTGATACACACATATATATATATATATTATATATAAATTATATATATATATGTTGTTCGACTTCACACTCAAATATGATCAACATGATCAACGTTGATATTTGTTTCATCAATAGTAGAACGGAATCATATACAGTACTGTATTCTTGTATCTTTGTCAGGACCTCTCTGGTAGATAAACATGGTGTGCTGGAAAATCGCCATGGTGGACAATCAAATATACAAACATATGAGGCTCACAGCTGGAAACTTCCCAACCTACAGATTCTGGCACACCAAAATTTCATTTTACATGCATGACTGGGTGATAGGTGTGGATGTTCATATGAATGGACCATACCAGTGAAATTCCAAAGTTTCAGCTTACCTCCATGTTTCATGTACAGTAGGTCAAGTAATATGTGGAGCAGCTGGGCGCTTGCGCCAGGCTGGTGTTGGGAGCCTATTTCATGCCCAGGGACATTACCAATTTATGGAGACTCAACTTCTCGCATCGGCAAAGGCAAATCAAACTCTTAGTGATATGTTCCATAACTGGTTGGTGGTTTTAACCATCTTGAAAAATATGAAAGTCAGTTGGGATGATTATCCCATATATTATATTATGGAAAATAAAACATGTTCCAAACCACCAACCAGATAATATTCTGAGATATTCTGAGTATGTCTCTTTTGGGGTATGGTTACTATGGCTCTAGTTTTTATATGTTTTTATGACCCAAATTGTGGATGGTTTAATACCAGCGACTGATTTCTTTTGCAGATCCAGTGGTAAATTTTGAGCCATACCCATCAATGGTTGGTTTTTAGCCAGAACTGTGTTGATTCAATGTGTCCCCATGCAAACAAAAGCAACAGCGTTCACCAGCCCCGTTGGGGGCCCCTTTGTGAAGCTTCGTAATCTTTGCCATCTCCTCAAGAACCCAGGTGAACTTGGAATCCGAAGCTAGCTGCTAGGCGGATGAAACCACATTCTTGGGACCATAAAAGGGGGATGTTTAACATGAACCGGGGATGGGATTATATCGTTTTAATAGATTTGACCATCAAATACCATAGTTCAGTTTTCGTGCAGCATATGGTTTTCCTTGAAACATTTGTGATGGAATAGAACTAGAACTCAGTTGCCGAAATGCACAAGTCCAATCCTACAAAATGACATCCTGTCTGTGTAGGACAAGGTCAAGAAGGTGTGACGAACAGCCACGACAAGCGAAACCTAAGCGCGCTGCCTTCCTGTGGAATCGTGGAACCTCAAGCTATAGCTATTCGGTAAATCGTAAAGATTGCGGAACTTGATTTCAGATCATTTTGGAGCAAAAAAATCATTTCCTGGGCATTCTTCCCTCAGTTGGGGATGATAAACCCCAATTTCTTGGGGATGAATCCCTCGGTGAGGTCACGAAAAGCCATCTCCCCAGAATCGTCCCATTTCTTTACCATTTGAACTGCCAAATTGTCGATGGAGTATAGCATGGTATATATTATATAAAGTTATATATATATAATTATGTATATATATATAACCATTCTTCTTTTTTTGACTATCCAGAAAAAACAAACATATACTGTAACCATCCATCACCTTAACCCTCATCCCATCTCAATTTCTAGACAATCCTTGGGGTTTTCGCCAGATCTTGACACCTTAAAACAGCCGTCCTCTGATGAAAGACTGAAGTCAAAGACATCGCTGTTCTCTCGGATATGCTGCGGATTCCAACCTGGGAAACTGGGGAACGGTGGAAGTGTGGCCGCCTGGCCGCTGTGGGAATAATGTACAAAGAGGGAGAGATTGCATGATATTCCAATTTTATTTGCTATATGCAATATATCAATATATAGTATTGATGTGTGTTTCTAATTCTATGTGTGTGGCTGTGTTTTTCAATACCTCTGGATCATACACTGCATTACTGATGCCATATTTTCATGCACGTACATCTATGTTGACATGTGCATGGATTTGTCTATCGAGCGAGTGACATACGCTGCAAATGCACCTGCGAATATCCCCACTCTGGCTTGGGAATGCTATATGGTCATGGGTTAAAACCCTGGCACCATGATGAACTTCCAAATAGCTGCACAGGACCCCTAAAACTAGTGTAGCATTTGGGTGGATATGTTGTCACTGTGAACCAGACATGTTTAGAAACGCAAAAAAAAACTGTGACTATGTGATTACTGCCAATTGTTGATAATATTTCCAGCCAAAAATTGGCTCCATTATTTCCCCATCAGAGACTACTTCTTTTTCGCCAGCGTACCCATTAAGAAATTTCCATTGGCCCCTGCAACCCTGCAAATCAAGACACTAAACATGTTTCACACAACAACAAAAGTAAATCACAGGTATGGAACAACAGCACAAACAATTCCATTATAGTTATAGTTATAAAGTGGGTAAAACAATGTCATTTTCACCACCCATGACTGGGAACTGTAAACATACCAGCTATAAACATGGTGATGACTGAGGGATGGTTTATGGGTATGGGTCAAAATTAGGTACCCCAATTAAATTGGATGGTTAATAATGTTAATACTAAACTAGACATTTCAATCTGTGGTCCCCTTAACGGTCTTCCATTTTGACCCCGTTTGCAAGCGACTCTTTGGGAGAATGCAATGGCCGCGCTGAAGGCTCCAGCGCAATGCCACCTGCGGAAAACAGCAAAAAAATAGGAAATAAGATCAGTATGAATGTCATATCACAATATCTAAACGATACATGACATATATAGATATAATATATTTATATTTATAATATATATATATAATAATATATATATATATATATATACATCCTGACTCAAACGGAGATACATGTATATACATTATATTCATAAACAACATATACATATGGTATCTTTTATGTACATAGAGAATGTATGTATATATGTATGTATATATATATTATGTAAATACATAATATGGCAACAAACAAGCGCAATACATACCTAGACCCTGGTGTTTTTTTGGTCGGCCACGACGCCTGCGCAGCCGTCTTCGCATGTCGTTCAGCGATCTGCTGCAGCTGTTCCAGGTCCGGGACCTTGCGAGGGTTCCAGTGATTAGTTGATCCCACAAAATACCAATGCGGCCCCCAGGAAAACCATGGGAAAACCATAGGAAAATGGTGATTCAACCCAAACAACATGTGGGTTTTACCGGGGGGTTGTAGCTGATTTCTGATAGCTAAGTCGGTTCCAATAACTGAATAACTCCAATAACTCTGGTTTATGTTACTTATAATTGTAGTGCTCATGGGGGTTATAAACCAACTTATAACTGCGGGAGGTCCACATTGTACCAAGGATGTAATATTATTTCCAGTGATTAGTTGGTCTATCATTCTTATATATCATCATATACCAATTATTGGTACTATTCGAGTGTAAAGATACCACATATTACCATACGATTGATAGGTACATTTACTCGCATTGACTAATTATACAACCAACATATAATGTAATAATGTAATATAGTTATTGATACTGGTAGTATCAATAACAATCAAATATTGTGAAATTACACTTGCCAATGATGGGGTGACCATCAATATTGGTTAATTAATCACATATCATATCATTGGTTATCATGTCTTTACTGTAAAACATGTTATAATCATCCAATGGATAGCCATAATTTCTAGCTGTTAATCATCATTGGATGGCTAGTTTGATTAAAATTAATGCTGTTGATGATCCTTAAATAGGTTCATATGGTTGATCAGAGTGAATTTCTGAACGTATTTCATCAACCCAACCAACCATCGTTTAGAATCACGATATGTTAGACCGATAATTTGCCGAAAAGAACAATACAGAAAACCCTATAGAAAGTTTCAATGTTAAACCAATCCATCAAGAGGCTTGAAGCCAAACAACCCCAAATAAAAGGAGCAAGCCTGGTCACAGAACCAGTGGTTGAATCCCAATGATCGAAGGTTTTTTAACTGCGACATCCCTGGTTCTGGAGGTAAAGATATGTAAAATGATAATTATCATATAATATGTATGTAATTTATAATATATATTCGATTTATAATGATATATAATTTATTAATAATAGTATATATATATTATATATATATATGATATATATATATATATGATATATATATATATATATGTATATATATATATAACTCATGAGTCACCAAACATGAAGATATGCTAATATTGTAGGATTTGAGTGAAACAAACATGACTTCACTCAACAGGAAATGCCACAAAGATAGATATGGTCGATGTTCATGGAGACATTTCAAACAACAAATCACAAATTCCGGATAAATTATATAGATTCACCTACCTGACATTTTCAACCATGCTGGGATAGTTACCCCAAGCCATGATCGCCATGATCCAAAAAGCGTCGTCGCAGTGAGGTCATCTAAAAGCGCCTTCAGCAGAGGACGCAGCTCGCGCGCATCCGATTTGGTTAAAACCTGAGTTTGCGCAACAAAGTGAAGCCACTAATGAATCCGATTAGGGATGGTTCATTGGCTTTACCTCGTTTGCATTCGGGGTACCCCAAAACAATGGCCAAATGATTTGCAGTAAACATCCATGGTATACATCAAAATTTGGAGCACCAATTCATCCACGCTTCAGTGGTGGCTGAGAGAACCCAGTTTTTTTGGGATCCAACATGGTCCAGCAATTCTAACCGACCAACGATTGGACATGGAGAAACACCACTTGTGTCTGAGCCATGGAGTTTTTAAGATGTTGCCCGGAGAAGGGACACAGGTTGAACAGCTCAAGAACAGCTATGGCTATGATTTAATAGTTGAATTCAACATCAGAAGTTCATCTTTTCACAGCAATGCATGGGGGTACCACATCTGTCGGGCAAGTGACATTGGGCATAAACTGGCACCACAGAACTTCACGAAATGAGTAGAACTCTTGCTGTGAAGCCATCATAATGTTGCGGGGTGCGGTATACAGATGTAGAATGATGTAGAATGTATGTACCATTATGTCCCGTATAGGAGTAGCGTATATGTTTCTAATTCCATCCAGTTTCTGAAGTTATTAAGTTCGAGACCATGGAAAGCTGACAAAACCGCAGCTGATTTGGATCGAAATGCACAGGACTCCAAAGCGTCAGTCCATATTTGGCTTTGTCTGAAAATTAAGGGGAACAAAACAACATCCAATGGGTTATCAGTTTCCCTATAGTAGTTATATAATTGCCATGAATTGGTTGTATACCACATTTTCATGTATCCTTCCATATGCACTATCATGTTGATGAATCCATGAATCCTGTAAACATCTATCAAAATCCCCGAAACATTATGTTTTTGCAGTTTTAGTCTGCGGAGGAAACACGTTTGCTTATGACGTCAATGGATTGGTTTAAGAGAAAATCTACAACCATCGTTTCTACTCCGAAATATAGGGGCCTCCTGCAGATTGTCCCAGCGACGTTCATGAAGCATTCCACCTTCCCAGGTGACCCCAGTGGCGAATATGCCAAGACCTGCGCGGGGCAGCCAGCATTGGATTGAACATGTACAGAACCCCCCTACGAATTTGCATGAATTTGCTAGATGTATGGTACATTTCAAATGATTTAACCGGAGGGCCATTTTTGTTGGTGACTGTTACATAAACAAATCCAGACGTGGAGCGTGCGGAATGGTGGCACCTGGGATGTGTGCAAATGCGTGGCGAAATTGATCTGGCACCCGGATGGTACCCTAAAATAGCTGGTTAATGGATGATTATTCCATATTATTCCCCAAAAATCACCAAAATATGGCAATTTCAAAGGTTTTGGCCCATCCCCATCTTGTTGAAACACTTTTCTGGCTGTACATATTAGTGCTCCGAGAAACTCAGAAACTCTTTTTTGTTCATTCCACTGAGATGGACATAGAAAGCATCACCAAACCTGGTTTTTTGGGATGGCTAAAATCCACCTATTTACAAACGCTGAGCGAAAATTATTTCAGTGGCTGAAGGGAATCTTTGTTGACAGGGTGACCCCTGGATTTCCTCTACAAGTTTACCCTAATGAAAAAAAAATAAATGCATACTACTCTCAATTGCTCACATTCATGGTTGTCCTCAGATTCACTCTGCAAAATGATGTATTTTCTTGTATTGATATTGCGAGTGGATATATACTAGATTACTTTTGTTGGGCAAAATATTGCAAAATAATAACCCCAACAGATATGAGAACAACAAGAACAAGAAGAAGAAGAAGAAGTGGTGATTTCAGCAATGAAACATGTGATTCAACCGAGTTCAACCCACAAAAACCAGAGATGAAAACTAATCATCCACCCTCCAGCCCTCCAGGAATCATGCTGCAAACCTCCAAACCTATTTCAGGGATTTTCCAGTTGGCCATGTTTGATGACACCAGAGGGTAAATCACCATTGATCACCAGCAAAACCACTAATCAATCACCAATTAATCACCATCAATCACAAGTAATCACCAGCATTAACCATTAATCACCATGCTTACCCATTATCCGTATCCACCGTTATTAGCTATTATTAACCATTATTAACCATGATTAACCACTATTAACCATTTTTCCCACAAAATCTCCCAGTAAAAACTCATCACCATGGGCGCAAGCCTGGATCCCAATGGTGTCGCAGAGTTCACACATCTCCACGTTGCTGTTCAAGGGATGCACCTGCGACGTGGAGCCTACAATTTGAGTCTGGCAAACCATGAATGCATAAATATATGTTGATTAATCAATATATATATATATATGTAATTCATCATGTAATATGTTCATTTTATTCATTTATATAGATGTATACTGGTAATCATGTAGAATCTATGCAAAACATACATCATATATTAGCCATGTATATGTCGATTCGTAGATTGTCCATCCACAACGACGTATACGGTCGCCTCCAGTGCCATCACCGCTGGTGGAATCTTCGTGCGCGACAGGAACTTCCGGAAGACCTCCACACAGACCTGACGTGGCCGGGCGGGTTTTCCACATCGATGCTAATCCCTCGGGTGTAGGATGTGTAGGGTATCCTGGAACCTAGAAAAATAAACTCGCGACTTGGAAATTGCCATCAAGAGCAGGTTTTCGAGGTTTTAAATTGTTGGGAGTGCATCCCAGGAACTAAGTGAGTAATAAGCATAGTAAAACCCATGTCTCCATTATAATCCATTTATACATGGGCTATATATGGATGATTCAGCACTTACTAAGTGGGATGCACCCACCAAAAGGATGCAGAAAAGTTGGAAACCTGGACATTATGGAGAAAACAGCATCTGTTTCACTTCCTGGAAACACTTTTCAGCATTTCTTCTTGACCCCTATAATATGTGGGTCGTATTTTTTAATCTGCACATGTATGTATATATTTTTTTTATATATACACATCCAAACAACTTTGTCATCATAAATCACCAAAACTACCAAAATGAACAGTTTCGCCTTTTGGGAGGGATACCTGAATCCTAACCATCATTCCAATGTCGTCGCAATGAGGTTGTTATGATGGACATATCATATCATATCATTTCATTTCATTTCATTTCATATCATATCATATCATATATATATATACAACAGTATATAAATCATGTACATATATGCACATTAGATACTAACAGCCGTTCTGATTGACATGGACAGGCAAAAGTCGACATTGTTTATAATTGTTTAAGGACCGAACCATCTATTTTGAGGGTTGGTAATCCATTGACACATGCCTACGCTTCATTTAAACCTCCTTAATGGACCTGTGGGTTAACTGGTTTTTGAGGTAGGGCGTGGGCAGTGCAAGGAAAGGATGTTATATATTATATTTATTACATTATATTATATGACATTACATTACATTACATTATATTATATTATACTATATTATATTATATCATATCATACCATATCATATCATATTGTATTTTATTAAATCATATCATATCATATTATAATATACTATATTAAATTATATTATATTATATTATATTATATTAATTTATACTATATTATAATATATTATATTAAATTATACTATATTATATTATACAGTATTATATTATATTATATTAAATTTCATTATATTATATACATACATACACACGTTATACATGTATGTATGTATGTATGTATGTATGTATGTACGTATGTGTGTATGTATGTATGTATGTATGCATGCATGTATGTATGTATGTATGAATGTATGTATGTATGTATGTATCTAAGTATGTATGTATGTATGTATGTATGTATGTTTGTCTACATGCATGCCTGTGTATAGTTTATTGCCACGTGGGCATGGCAACGTATGCATTTTTGGATTCTCACCCGGTAGTGTCAGGTGTGGAAAAAAAGCTCCCAATTGAATGGAGTCGCAACTGACTTTTGGTTTCTTCCAGGAGCAGCAACTGAGTGGTCAATAAGGCTTGTGACAGATTCTAGCCTCACACAAGCCATTCAAATTATATAATGAAAACGAGTCATTCTCACATGTAGTCATGGCCGCAAAAGTGTTTGAACATGGTCTTTGGCTTATCCAAATGATCGAACAAATCCAAATGTCTCCAATCAATTAAAACCAATTCAAAAGATCCAAAACTGCGATATCATGATTCACATGACACGGGTTCTACTCAAATCAATCATACTCCAGTGATAGTGTGTGATCCAACATTATCAACCATGTACAATTGGTTTTTGACCTGCAAACATGCTCAAATCACATCAAGTGACATGGGCATGGATCAAGACCTGATATATCATTAAAAAAACTGTCATTTTTGGGGATGAATCTCCATAACTGTGCCCCTGGGGGTTCCACGGGTCTTCGTCAAAGGATCCGCGCCTTGGGCCCCAAGAGATCAAAGTTGGAAACGCCCAGGAAGCGCGCGCGACCTTCGCGCACTACCTGGCGATTCTGTTGAAAAAATTGGGGATATCCCGATTTATGGATGGTTTATTTCATGGAAACTCTTATGAAAGTGGATGATTTATGATGATTTAGGGGTACCCCCATGACTTAGGAAACCTCCATTTGATGACCTGATGATCTGATGTTCATGATGATGGTGATGAAAATAATGATCATGTTGAAAACAACAACGATCATGATAATGATGACTACTCATAGTTGAACCACAACATGGTGATCAATCAATGGTGATCATTACAAACCCCAAATTGAAGAAGACAACAGTTAATTATGACGACGTTGATGCTAATGATGTTGATAATGATCATGTTTTTGTTGACGATTATTGATATATTTATTTAAATATATTATTATTATTATTATTGTCATTACTATTATTACGAATATTACTATTATTACTATGATTATTAAAAATATCATTATAATTAGTAGTAGTAGAAGTAGTAGTAGTAGCAGCAGCAGGAGCAGGAGCAGGAGCAGGAGTAGGAGTAGTAGTAGTAGAAGGAGGAGGAGGACGAGGAGGAGGAGTAGGAGTAGGAGTAGGGGTAGGAGTAGGAGTAGGAGTAGGAGGAGTAGTAGGAGTAGGGTAGAAAACAAATTGAAGAGGCAGAAAACAAGAAAACATTGATCATATTGAAGAACCTGGTGATCATCATGATTAATTTTAATAGTTCAATTTTCTGACGATAAAATATCAGCAAACAACTATCAATAAATGGTGATCATTATAAACCCCAAGTTCAAGAAACCAATAATGACTATGATGGCGAGAATATGTGAAAATTGTGATGATGTTCCAATAAAACATAATCTATTCTGGGAAAAACAAACCGCTTGCATGGTTGTGTGATGTAGTGACGAGATGTGACGAGTAGAGTGAACACGGAATACATCAGAGTTGCAAGTGGAATTGACCTTCGGAAATAAAACATGGCAAACATGGCAATGAGAAATCTCCTATCTAGCTATCTATCTATCTAGCTATCTATCTATCTATCTATCTATATGTGTGATTAGATATTTTATTAATGTACATAAATGGAGGTTTGGATGGGAATATCATCTGGTTGGTGGTATACCTACCCCTCTGAAAAATGATGGAGTTCGTCAGTTGAGATTATGACATTCCCAATATTGGAAAAATAAAACATGTTCCAAACCACCAACCAGTAATCTATACAGTATATATATATTGATGTACCCTCTGGTAATTTAACATAGCTATTGAACATGGCTAATTATAGTTGATTTACCCATTAAACATGAGTAGATTTTCCATAGTAATCTATATTTTCCATGATTTTCCATTGCCATTTTGGATCAGATACGGTAGCCCAAGTCTGGCCTCCTCGAAGTATGGCCACGCTGCTGGAACCAGCCTCAACTTGGCTACGCAAAATCGCCAAAATCGACCGACCAAATGGAGTGGTAGATGTCAAACATGATGTTTAGTGGTTAATAATGGTGATTGATGGTGATAGTTATCCATATTAGTCAGAAAACTTCTGGAGATGTTTCTTTCCTCTGGATACATACCATAGCACTGTTTTGGATGTGCGCTCTGCCGTTCGATTCGTCAAGACTTCTGCCCTTCTTCACAATGTTTTGGACCCACAAAAACAACATATAAACTAAAGATCATTAAACAAAAAACACATATGTAAAAAACAAAACAAAACATCAGACACACCAATAGCCAATATCTGTGAAACTCAGGTGTCCTTCCATTTTTTGTTGCCTTTCAACTTGAACTTCAAATAATGATCCAACTTCTGCCATTCTAAACTCGTTTCACAAAGGTTCCCCACTCTGGTGGACAATCAGCGATCAGCACGTCCACGTACTCCAGCCTCAACTCACCTGGGAATCGCCAGCCGCCAGTGTTGTCACTTCGCCCTGGTTTCTCTGATAGTAATGAAATATCATATCATGTGAAAAAAACAGTTTAATATTGAAAAATATTGAAAACATGTGATTAATATTTCTGTTATATTTATGTAAAGACAACCGAAAAATAAACACAAAACGTAATGTCAACCCACGTTAACCCCAGTTGCTTCCTTAGGTGGTTCCCGCCAGGAAGCGATGCTTTACTGTTTGAATGGCCCAAAGATCAACAACCTAAATCCAGCGTTGCCCATGTTTGAAAACCACGCCAAGATTCCCAGTCATGGCATGTTTCTTGATTCATGCCACGAAAAAAAAAAACCTGCCAGACGGTCTTCCCACTTCTTCTCTGAGGATTGGGCCAACCTCAAAGCAATGATACTATGTGTATAAATATATATATATAATATGTATAAATATTTACGTACACGATATATATATATATATGTGTATAACAACATATAATATCATATACATATACATGTATATGCAAATAGTATAAATATGTATATACTTGATATGTACAATGACACAATAGAATATTATATCTCACCAGGTTGGCAACACATGGACACCATATAAGAGCATTACTATCCAGCTATCCCGCTGATGAATAAAATATAATAAAACAATTATCTGCAGTGGCGTTCAAGGACTTTTGGACATTCCCAATCACTAGTTCATAACCAACCATCATTTACCACTTATATCACTTCTATCCTTATATTTATACTTGTTCAAACTTCGCAACCCATATTCAGCGGTCGAATTCCACAAAGGGGTGCCCCCCCACTTGTACTGGTTTGTCCCTAAACCCAGTTGAGCACGGATATATCCCCCCATAAACCAATCCGTTAGCCTAGTTATGACCTTTCACAACCTGAGGCACCACCTGGTACCATCACCATTCTTCCCTTGATATCCCCATTAAATTTCCATTATTTCCATGAACATCCGCTAATGGCCCATTAATATCCATTAATATCCGTCAACACCCATTGATATTCCATGAATGTTTAAACGCTAATAAATGGATGATTATTCACGGAGACATTCCATTGTTATTCCATGAATGTTCATACATACATATATATATATATATATATATACCCTCTGGAAAACTAACATAACTATGGACAATCACCATTTTTTAATGGGTAAATCCACTATAAATGGCCATTTTCAATAGCTTTTTGTATGTTTACCAGAGGGTACATATTCCATGGGTTCATTCGATGGCCGAGGCGCTGAGCAACATCTCCAAATCTTGGCGAAGCTGCTCCCTATCCTGGCAGGACAAGTCGACCCACTTAGTGGCGATTGGAGAAGAATTGAGACTGAAATCAATGGAAATAGATGGTAGGTACCTCCATTTTAGGATCCTGAAATTCCCATTGATGAAATGTCCTGACCCAAAATTTGTTGAAAGCACTGTATTACTGCTTGGTGGTGCAATAACCATGTTGAAAAATATGAGTTCGTCAATGGGAAGGATTATCCCACATATATATATATATACATATATATATATATCATGAAAATTATGGAAAAATAAAAGTCATATTCCAAACCACCAACCAGATAATCTCTTGTACATAATTATCCATCTTTGTGGGTTATCTGAGGCTGGAGATTCGTTGCGTGAAACACAGTTTGCCGCTGTCTCTCGGTGGTTGAGGAACGTGATGCCCAACAGGGGGAGACAATCTATGCAAATGGCTACATTGGGTTGAATACCCTCTGGTGAACGTTTACATAGCAATGGAAAATCACCATTCTTAATGGGAAAATCCACTATAAATAGCAATTTTCCATTGCTATGTTAGTTCACCAGAGGGTAATAGGTGTAATGGATAGATATGGATAGATTGTCTATACATGATGATGATGATGATGCATCCCAACAAAATACATTAAACATAGACATGAAATAACGAACACATCTTTGGATGGCAACTGGGTTAGAAAATGAACACTGCACAGCGTTTGGTGAACCAAGTTGGCTGCGATTCTTTGGCCAATCTTTGCAGCTATCCATAAATATATATATATATATATACATATATATATATATATCATATATATATATATCATATACAGTAATATGTTGTCTGTCATACGCATCATTGTACTAAACGGAAGCTCACAATGCTTAGCCGTCATCTTCCAAGACATAGATCCAGCGGGTGCCCTGGCCGCGGAGGGCACCTTGCACTTGTGAATGCGTCCGCACACGAAGATCTCGCTGCGCGCCAGGCCTCCTTTGATCTCCTGGTGATCACCGTGGCCCAGTAATTCCAGGAATCCAAAGTGCTTCAGTGCTTCGTAACCCATAGGATCCATGTATGAGTATGGTATATATGCTAACATTTACCATCAATATACCCCAAATGTTAGCATATATACCAGCACCATGGATCCTATGGGGTAACCATGGTTCATCTCAGTGCACTGATGTGGGATGTTCTTCAATTATTTCTCGGTCAAATATCCGGCATTATTCACATCTAGGGCCATTGAACATGGTGCCTCTCCTAGGATTCAGTGTGTAAGGGTTCTATTCCCTTCGGCCACAAATCCGCATCCAGAATTCTGCCTGCATTTGCTCCATCTTATCATTGACTAATGTTCCGTTTCAGCCTCAAAATATAAACCGAAAATGCAGAGGTTGCAATCCTTTCAAGTGATGTGTAATTGGAATGACCTGCAAATATATACACGTCTGGAATTGCTGGTGAAACGGCACCAAATAGTGCCCCCACCTGCCATGTTTGTTGGTTTATGTTTACCCACTTATAACAAGATCGATTTTCTTCGATTTTGCTGTTCCCCAATGTCATAAATCCATCCCAGAATTACATAGTTCTTTACCCCATATAGATCCATATAGATCCATATAGATCCATATAGATCCATATAGATCCATATAGTCATGTGATGTTATGTGGCTAGCAAGTTCCACCAACTGGGGTACCACCTTGCAGGACCAGGTCATACCAGGTCATACCAGGTCGCCTTCTCGAGCGCAAGCCCAAGGCTCTGTTGATTTTGGTGACCTGGCGACAGTGGATGGGTCAAAAAACGCCCTGAGCTTCCCACATGAAGAGGACAAAGCATCCATGTTCAGCAAATCTTCGAGCTATTTTGATGTCCGGTGTCATCCGATGTCCAACGTCATATTGATGAGCACTGACTCTTGGCTGAAGAATGTTGTGGAATGTTGAGGATGAGAGAGGATGATTTTTCAGGGATGAAATTCCTTCGTGGGAGTGATGTATTTGGTGCAACCAAGTTTCTGACACACCAAGGGGATCCAAGGGGCACGTTTCAGTCTTCGTGGGATCAACAAGTGCTGCGATTGGAAAGGACGGTGGAAGCCCGGGTGGATACACATTCTCTTCGCACCATGACAAATTACATCTGAATCCATCCCTGAAAAGGAACAGGGACACCGAACAAATGGATTGAAACGGTGGAAAATCACTTCCAATTTGATCGTTCGAGTTTCACATCCCCTCTGGTAAACTAACAGTTTGCTATTGAACACGGCCATTTAGAGTTTGTTGATTTACCTATTACATCCTATCAGAAATGGTGATAAATTCATATAAATTCCAAAGCTATGTTACTTTACCAGAGGGTTTAATCATCCCCTATTGGATTCTAAAATATTCCAAGTCCCTCAAGTCCCTTAAAACAACAGGTACCAGTAGTATGATCCCCGAACTAATCATCAACGGTAACCAAACATGCCACGGTTTCCTGTGCCGCTGTCAAAGAGCCTCACCCCAAATGCAAGCGCTTCCTGACGGAAGCGAATCCTCATTGGCGGTTCGCCTTATCCATGTGTATCCGTTCTAAGTTGGGGATGATTGACATAAGATTAACATGAGTGAAACATCGTGAAACCACTCATTCAAAACATCTGTTTGATGTGCAGTGCCAAACACATGGTCATAGTTTCTGGTGTCTCTCTGGTTCGCCTGCTGTTTCGCGAATCACCGAGCCTTCACCGCGTCTTGCGTGAGCTGGTCCACACTTCGGTAGAACTCCTCATCCGAGAGGCGTTCGTCGCGAAGATCTTCGGGCAAAAAGTGACCTCATTGCTAAACCGGAAAGGCTTTGTGATTGGATATTTGATTCACTGTGGCTCTTGGTGAGTTCAGTGATTGGTTGTGAGATGATTGGGTTGTTGTGCCTGACTTAATCCGGAACATTTTGAGAGTTGCAGGATGGTGGATTGGTAGTTGTTGGAGATCGATATCTCTGATGTTTCGTTGGTGCTTCCGTCTAGGGATGAGCTGTTGTACTATTACAAGATAAGAATCATACCTATTAGGCCACTCTATCAATGGATATGAATGGAATAGAATAACCCAAGCTGGGGATTTACGATTGTGATTGTGATCATCGATGCACATTGAAGCAGGGACAACAAGGAGCCTGGCGAGTCTCACTCCCCGCTGTATCCATCTCCCCACGGGCCCCACTGAGGCCAGAGGCTGCCGAAGCCCAAAATGGGAATCTCCGCCTGTTTCTTTGGAGATGCTGAGCCAACCAGGCGGCACCCCATAGACAAACATAGCTATGGAGCTATGGAGATCCGTCAATTTCCCTAGGACATGATCTACAAATGATGGATGTTCATGGATTTTCATGTACTTTCCACATCTACATGAGGGAAGTGTTCATACTTCTGGTTTCTCTGCCAAACTTTAAATATCATCCACGTGTCTTTGTTTCCAGGATACGTATAATACAGGACAACAGGCCAACGAACAGAAACTAATCTCCTACAGAAATTCATCAGATTACTCATTACTCCAAGTATGGCAAACAAAAACATACAAGCCATATGACTATGGGTCGAAAACCTGGTACCCTGGTTATCACACTAAAATAGCTGGCAGCTGGTGTTCGATGTTAAAAAGAAAGATAAATTGACAATTTTTGACCCCTCCCCATATGAAACTGCTCCCATCCCCAACCGTGCCGGTAGGTTTGCAAGCCTCCATGGCACTCGGAACTGCAGCGGTACGCCTCGGCACTGGGAGAGGGCCCCACGGCCCACGGCCCACGCATAGGAAATGGCTCAAAAACCCTGAGTTATATATGGAATGTCCCCACTTATATAATGGGATTATATATATGTATATATATATATATGGCTTATATATGCTTATGGATTATCAATCACTTACTTAGTGGGATGCACATCCAAGTCGGGGTGCCCTTTGGTTTCATCAAACGTGGCTAGCTCGAAAATTGCCGAACCAAATGGAGGTTTATAGCTGGGTATTGTTGAATAGAAGCCAATCTATGGTGAACATTTCTTTCAAATAGGTGACCCATTTCTGGTAATCATAGAAATATGTTTGGGGATAGCCTCTGGAAATAGATGGGATACAGGGCATTACAATGCATTACATAGAAATGGAAAATCCACCATCTAAAGATCACTCACTAAAACATATCATGTATCTAGAATCTAGGATTTTTGATTGCCACTGCCACGTTTGACTACCGGAGGGTACCTTCATGGATGATTGGTACATATGGAATTTCCAAAAAACATATTAGTGTATGACTGATATTATACCAATAGGATATGTTTGAGATATACACTACACTCTACTTTGTTCTGCAATATAGATCATTTGCGAATCCCATGAGGTATAATATATGATATAAGATGAATATCCCATATTACTCAATACGATGGGGTACTTTTACATGGACCCACAAACGGATGGAATTGGTGGCTTCAACTCCCTGCGCTGAACATCGTCGTTTGTCAACGTGCCGTTGAACAACCACCATTGCAGTGATTGTCAATATATGGGTCAAAACCCTGGTACCCGGATCGTACCCAAAAATGGTTGGTTGATTGAGTGTTATTCCCCTCAAATATGGTCATAATAGGCTTTGACCCATCCTTATATCCCTTGCCCTGATGGTTCTCGGGCTGAATGCCCTTGCATCCTGGGTAGCCCTTGCGACGACTGCAGTGAACCGATGGAAAACACTGCCTGGCAGGTGAGGTGTGTTGGATTCCACTGAATTGGTGCACTGAACTTGAGAGCCATGAGCTTGAGAGCAATGAGCAAATTATGGAAGAGGCAGGTCCCCATTGAGGAAAATATAGTATAGTATATAAATATCAAAATTATATATATATAGTCTGTAATTGTATAAATATGTCCTGTATAATGCAAAATATTCTAGAAATACACTATATATCACTATATTGTTTATTGTTGTTACTGTCTCGATATTACCGGCATTATCACTATCAATAGTACTTTGATAACAATGATGATAATACCGATGCTAATACACTAGAAAGTGATTGAACGTGTATATATTATACATGTATATGGTTTGATGGAACCATCAGAGTTACTTTCATGAACACTCTGGAGGAACTTCTATGGACAATCTTCGCCTTCTGCACCTCAAGCCTGTGCCCCAAGGGGACCTGTGGTTACATAGGCACTACCCTCTGGTAAACTCACATAGCTATAGAAAATGGCCCATTTATAGAAGATTTACAGTACCTATTGAAATGGAGATGTTCAAAAGTTGTGTTAGTTTACCAGAAGGTACCATTCTGCTTCTGGGGAGTTCTGGGTTGCTTCTTCTCCTCACCTTTGTACCATGCTTCCAGATGGGACTGGGTCAGAGTTTCAGGTTTCATGAATATGAACAAGCCGTCTTGGGGGTTCCCAAAATTTGTCATTCCGAATGGAACAACCAATCGTCTGTACCGTATATACATGTGCAATCATGTGCATGTATATACCCCAAGATACCCCAAGTTTGAGAAAAAACATTTGTAGATTCAATGTGTCGATTCAACGGACCGCCTTACGGGAACATCTGCAGGGAAACCATGGTAAACCCTCAAATTCCGGGGTTCCCTCTAAAATCTTCCATCATTCAATTCTGGGATAGATGATTGTCCTATATTTTGCCATTGAACATGTTTATTTTCCAATACCAAGCTAAGATTCTGAGAGTGTCCCCACAAGTTTTGCTCAAGCGGTTCGTGCATCCCTCTGTTCAGAGGTGGAGTGTCCATGTTTCCAACTGGACCATCGCTATAGAACATGGCACCTATTCAACATGGAGATGTTCGATATGTCAAATTACCAAGGGCTAAGCGAATATACGGCTATGGCTCCCCTGAAATACATGAGTTGCGGGCTCCGAATGGGGATGCACATCCCATTCGAGTATGTACAGTAATTCTATCACCACTATCCCACTCTCGATTCTGTCCGATTCTATCACAATTTTGCTTGAATCTCCTGTATGGAGGTTTCCTAAGTCATGGGGGTACCCCCAGTTTTCATCCATTTTAACAGGATTTTCCATGTAAAGCATCCATCCTAATCAAAATAATGGTACCTGTTTCGGCAGGACACCCCTAAACCAGTCCCGCCTTCACGGCCTGATGATCTGACAAAGGGGCGTCCAACTGCGCCTGGGAACAGGGCCGTCTGAGTCCATCGAAAAATTTTCGACCGTGGCATCTCTACCATTAGGTTATGACATTGCCAGTTTGCCGTGGAAAGATCCACCATGTTTAATAGGTAAACCATCTATTTCTATGGACCATTTTCCATGGCTATGTTAGTCATAACCAGAGGGTACCATCTCAAAGAATGAGGCTTGAAGAGGACATAGTTTATTGGTTCAACTGTTCAACCAATGCTTCTCATCAAAACAACCTGAACGACTTCATTAAGAAAAATGGGAAACATGGGCACCATCTGGCACCATGGGTATATTGGAAACTCATCATGTCATGTGCTCTATTAGATCGGAACCAGTCGTTGGATGATTGAAGGCTAAATATCTTGGACCGTACCCAATCTATACACATTTCCCCATCCGAACATGGTGGATTTCCCATTAATCATGGTGGATTTCCCATTAATCATGGTGGCATTTTTTCGGATTTTAGGGGATCATCTCAATCATTTCCCCATCCGGTCACCAAGAAATCGGAAAAACATTCGCAGAGTAACCAACAGAAATGCTTCATTTATGTTCAGTTGGGAATTTTGGGAACACTGAAAAATGAATGCAAGAAAAATAATATAGTTTCTTCTAGACGTTCCCTAAAAAACCAATCCGTGAAAACGAGACGGATTCTCGCCTCTCCAATGATATTGGCTGTGGACATGGCTTCCACACTTAGTGGCTGCACCTGACGATATGCAGTTAACAAGTTGGTTTATGAACACATTTGACTACAGGTATATCCCGCATCTGCCCCAGTTTGCCTATAGTAAATCAGGTCACCTAACTATGTGGTACATTGCGGTACCATGTTGTAGGAATTTGAGACATCAAAACAACTAACCATTTTTGGGTGTCTCAGTCCTGATGTTTGCTATAAAATAATACCCCCCAAATAGTCCCTCATATATCACAACATTTCTTTATCATTGAATTACCGAATCACCCAGATATACACCTACATACTGCATGGTCATTAAATCACAAGCAAGTTGGTTTATGTGTATATATATATAACTATCCTAAGGCGTGTTTATGATGGATATTCGCATACCATATAGATCCTAATATAGTTTCCATAGTTGGACCCGGCCAAATCCAGCCTTGCGACTGGTGACCATGAAGTCAGAGAGATAGCCTAAGAAACCTAAGCGACTGGGGTTTCCAAGGGAAAGTCATCAGGAAACCATGTGGTGAATCCCCATCCATGGGGGAGTCCAACCTCTCAAATTCTTCTCAAACTCACTCCAAGAATCTCCAAGATATCTAGGATAGCAACTTGGGTAAACTGCAAAGAACTATGATCGGAAAATGAGTCGATAAAACTCATGCGAAGCATCTGCAGTACCCTCTGGTAAACCAACATAACTATGGAACGATCCACCATTTTATAGCTGGGTACATCAACTATTTCGACTGGGCCATTCTCAATAGCAAACTGTAAACGTTTACCAGGCCGGGTTTTCATGGATTTTCCATGAACTAAACCAGCGTTTTTGGGGGTAAATCCCATCAATATGGAACCCCCCAGATGGGTCTCAGTTAGTTTACCCAGCCGGGTAAGCCATTGGAACATCTTCACTGGACCGGTGACCGTCGAACCGGTGACCGGGCGCCCCGCAGCTTGCGGGGACCACGCTCTGGTCATATGCCAAGGACCAGCCCAGAGCTTCGAGACGCACCAAAGGGGCCTGAAAAGCCCGGCCCCTTGAAGGGATGACCTATATATATAATATATATATATAATATATATATATATATTACTGGATGTATGTATATACATATATATATATATACATTATAGCTTTATAAACCATATCGCATCTGAACATATATGTTTGGGGTTCTTAAAGTGAGGCTAATCCCAAATCATCCAAGATTAGACTGTAATATATTTAAAACCCCATGGTTTTGTGGTTCCTCCAGTTTCAGAAAGACCTATTTGCACACATGTACCAAACAAATGACACAATTGAATACAATACAGGCACTTCCATATTACAGTAATAACATTAAACAAAACCTATTGTATACGCATATGCAATGCTAGAATTGGATAGTGGTGTGGCTCGTCTCATCTGGGTGTTTTTCCATGACATCCACCAGGACCCAGGACAGATGGCACCTTCGCAGCCTCGGGAGCCTCCACGCTCAAAGGTCCGGACCTCAACGACGTTGCCTATTGAAGACCTAAAAAGAAACCTGGAGAACCAACACATATATATTAAAAGCCTACAAAAGATTGCTATGCAGTATCTATAGTTCTTTTCCTTTCTTCCAAGATGTTCTGCAATGTGTTCAATTCGTTCAAATATGTCCGCCCTCATTTCCAGGTTTTGAGCTTTTCGATGTCTTTGAGGACGCAAAACGGAGCAGTTCCCCATTGACAAATGGTTTTCCTGTTCCAAGTTGTGATTTTCTACCTTCCTGAATTGCAGGGTACCTTGGGTACCCGAATGATCTTCAGTTTTAACTCATCCATCTTTAGTAACTTTAGTGTTTACCCATGTTTACCCCCCAAAAAACGTGTTTTTATGGTGCGTTTTACGTAGGGAATTTTCGGGAATGATCCCAGCAACCCCCAGCAACCCATCCAGTTGGGATTTGCCGAGTCGATGGAAGGAAAATTCTATGACAATTGAGCTATGTTGATCTATAATTTTGCAGTTCATTGGTGTTCAAGATCGGTAAATTAATAGAGTAAACTATAATATAATATAATATAATATAATATAATAATATAATATAATATAATATAATATAATATAATATAGTAATTACAATTATAATATAATATACTATAATATAATATACTATACTATACTATAATATAATATACTATACTATACTATAATATACTATAATATGATATAATATAATATAATATATAATTATAATTTATAATATAATATAATAATTACAATTATAATATAAATAATATAATATAATAGAGTATAATAATTACAATTATATAAAAAATATATATAATATAATACAATATAATAACTACAATTATAATATAATATAATATTATAACTACAATTATACTATAATATAGTATATGTTGGTATGACTGTATGAGCTTTGCTGCGCATTTTTAGTCAGGTACCAAACAACCCCCGCACTGTGAGAGCGGGTGAACACCTATGATCCCACGTTGGAAAGCGTGAACTGAGGAAATCAAGAGGTATATATAATGACCAGTTTTCACCAGTTTTCCCGCGGTGGTTATCATTAATGGATGCAATCAACCCTGCCAAATTTCCAGCAACAAAAATGATCAAACATGGGGAAATGCCAGGACCCATCTGTTTCTTTGACCAATCCGTTCCCCATGTCATGCAACCTCCACCCGAATCCACCAGGAGGTTCCCACACAGCACCGAAGTCACCCAGCAAAAGGCCAACATCTTCCTGGGGGGTCAACTACCAACAGCGAAAAGGATGGTAGCGCAGATGACCACTGGGTGAATGGATGTATAACTTTAATGAACGCCATGAGTTGTAATCTCCATAAAAATCTCCATAATCATCAAATATCATCACGTGATGTACTGGCGCTTAAATTATACTAGTGGAACTGGACACCCACAAAGAAAACTGATGGAAAACCACTTGGAAATCCTTTCAAGATTGTCCCGTCCTCAGCTGAATGCTGTTGAAAGAGCTCGACAACACGGGCCACTTGTCCACTCCTGGAGTGTGAAGAATATGACCACCATGTACCACCATGACATCTGTCACGTGTGTCCATATGAAAAAAATGAAAAAAGAAACAGTCGGATTCACATGAATCTAAATGATTCTGAGCATCCAGGAACATCCAGGAAGACTCTCTCACATCGCACAGGAAATCCGTGTGCAGGAAAAGTAGCCGACCAATTTCACCATCTGATTCTATAGATTTTGACATGTGTCTTTCTACATGTGATATTTGGTGATTTGTCAGGAACATTTCAGTCTTTACTGAACATTTGTAGTGACCAAAGAGAATGTGAAGTTCTATATATATATAATATATCCATATATGTTAACATCAGGGAACAATTTTCCAAATGTTCGAGATTTTGCCAGTCTCATGGATCGAAACAAGGCGATTCAATCATGCATTTACAATGGTCAACAGACAAGTGGGCTCCTTGCACTGCTATGACGCTTTACATCTCAGAAATAAGTTGTGGTTTCCCCAGTTTCAAACAAATTTTAGGAATTCTGAGCCTACCAAAGACATTTACAACCACGGTCAAGGGATACAGGAAACCCTGATATTTCACGGGAAAAGCAATGGTTTCCTTTAGATTTTCCCTTAAACCAATCCATTGACACCGTTATTTCTGGTTGTTTGGGTCCCTAAGATTACTTGGTGCGAATCGACCACATGGACAATGGAGGTGATCAACCGCAGCTTCGTCGGGAACGGCCAAGAATCCCTAGAGATATCCCGAAATCCACTCTTTTTAGAGACAGAACGAACTTTCATTCTATTAAAACACCCAATTGTACCAGAAATGAATGGATATTAACAATATTAACCATGGACAAGTGGGGCTGATTATTGGGTTTAGATGGGTTTAGCACAGCCTTAAGTCCAAGCGTTCATCCTTTGGACAGAGATTCGTGGGGGTATCAGCCCACAGGCCCACTGGCCCTGCTTTTCCTCGCCCCTGAGCAGTCAACTCAAGCCATCTGTGGCACAACTCTCCGGGTGCTGCGACTTGGAATTGGGAGCGCAACTGATCATCATGCATCAACTAGTGACAATAGATACACGGTAGGTATCCCGTTGAAGGTTGATTACGTGTTGGAGATGTCCTGAATCTGAACGATGTAAATGTGTAGATGAATACAGTATCTGTGTGTAGCAAAACAACAAGACTACATATACATGTACATGTACATATAATACAAATACATAAGCGTAAACATACAGTACACATAATACATAATACACAATACATACATACACATTCAATATGTAATTAGCCACCTGGGTATGGTATGGGACACAACCCTAGTGTTGTGCAATGAACATAATGAACATTCAAAGAAATAAACCAAACTTTTGGGTCTTAAGCTTTGACAATCATCACCCACTCGACTCCCATCTGCAAGCCACTTATGCGCCCATCACTGGTGATCACATCTGACAGTCACGTCCGTCGGTGTTTCAGATGACCAGAAGCAAATCACATGCCACTCCATCAAGAGAAGACCAATGCAAAAAAAAGGTATGAGTCAAATTTCAGTCAACTAAGTTTTGACGGATTACAGTAGCTACAACCCCAAACTTGATACCTGCCAACAAGTTCAAACTGTAGCCATTCCTAGATATCCTGCACACATATAATGGAGTGTACCTATTAGTGGGATGCTACGCTATTGGGGGAAGTCTTTGAAATTTAGTCTCCTGGAATTGGAAGGTATGGTACCCTATTGGGGAAAGTGTTTTTCTCAGATCCATATTTTTCAGGAAGCAAAAAGTAGGTCCAAGAAAAATCCTTATACAGGTTATTGTCCTTATGATTTTCTTACAAGATCAATTTCCATGTTACATTGCAGATGTCCCAAATGATCAAGTTCCTTATAGATCCCAATTTAAACACAGCACCCAAACAATCTTTCAAGGGGCTCAGATCCTCAATAATAGATTTGTTTGGATGGTACTCTATTGTGTCACTTATGGAAAAAAAACAAGTTGTTGAAGATGTTTTTGTGGCACTACCCTTCACAACAAGCGGAGACTCCTCTGAAACCACCTGGCTGAAGAAAGGCGCACCAACCGTCTGCAGCTGCACCAACTTCGTTGGAGCTGCAAGAAAATTGAGGGAAAAGGTCGCTGCAGCTACGCGGCTCAGCGGAAAAGAGATGGATCAGAGATGATCAGAGCATAGATATATAATATAATAATAATATATATATATTATAATATAATATAATATAAAATAAAAAAAATATAATATAATATAAAATAAAATAAAATAATATAATATAATATAATATAATATAGTATAATATATATATATATGTAGATAATAACTATATCTGTAAAATGCAGCTGTTTCTTTCCAATGTTCATTGAGCAGCTTCATTCTCAGCACATTGAGTAAAAAACTGCCGCATCTGCCGAATGGGACAAATTACAACGAACCGCGGGGAATGGACTTAGGAAATCTGTATGTATCGATCCTCTTCCAAGTCCTCTGGCTCGAGCATGGTCTGACTCCTGGAACGATAAATGCCTCAGTGACAGGAAGTTGGTTTGTGAACTTGAAGGACGAGATAGGATAGATAGGATGATTTGGATGTGTCTGAAAATGGGGTATACCCCAAACATATCCAACATGGCAATTTCAACCAGGACAATGATGATGAATAAGTGGATTCAAAGTATATATATATACGTATATTGTTTTGTGGTTTCATACCATCCAAAGATATCCAAAGGATATGCTGGTCAACTGGGATCCAAACATTAAACAATTATATGACGGATTGAAATGCAAGATCTGGCGGAAGAATGCTGAAACCACCAACCAGAAAATGATGGAAGTCCTTAAATTGCAGAAAGCAAGCAACATATGGACTATGGTGAGACTTAGTATGAGACAGAAAGAGAGTAAGTCAATCCGCACGTAACCGCGGCTGACCAACATGGTTAAGTAAGCATCATACCAACGACCCCACGCGCAACATGTTCATTTTCTTGCACTCAATCATCCAGTTTGAAGTGTCGATAAGTGCCACCCAAGTCCATAGGGTATAGCAAATGTGACAACGTTCAACAGGAAACAATATATTCCAAATCCTCTGTTCATTGTACCCCAACAAACCAGTAATAGGCGATACCCCAAGTTGCTACTCTTTCCTCTTCCTATTGGGACCAGAAAAGGCGTCTTTCAAGGTAGAAAACGCTGTAATCTCCCTTAGAATCCCAACATGATTTGTAAATTGACTTTGCACCCTCCGGCTCATCCAGTTATATTGGAATGTTGGTCCATGTTCACCCGGTTCACCCTCTTGACTCGCCCGATATTTTTTCCCAACCCATCCGTCAACTGGGGCACCATGTTGTAGAGTTTCCTTTCATTCAGATATTTAGGCCCCCCGGGCCTCTCAGTCATCGTTGGTGTCTGAAGCCTTTTTGTATTTTACTAAGTGACCTAATACCCTCTGGTAAATAAACATAGACCCTGAAAATAGCCCATTTTTAATGGAAACTAATCTTCCAACCCCTATCTGGCAGGGTCTATGTTAATTTACTGGAGGGTAATTCCTAGGGCACCACCTGGCATTGTAGCTGTCCACCGCCATGGTACCCAGCATCGTCACCGCGGCTACAACGGCCGCTGTGCAGAGGCTCCATCCAGCCCCAAGTGACCCCTGTCGTGTCGCCCAAGAGGCAGTGGAACTTGGTACCTCTGCAGGTTTCCATGGTGCAAACTATCTGCAAGGGTTCATATCTCCACCCTGGATGAATTTTCACCTCCCTGCTCCCTGGCTGTTGATCAGCCAGTGTACCACTTTTTTGGGCGGAGATTTCCACTGGCTATGTGACCCAAGACCATCAGCAAGCTGTGATATCCACCCATTTCACCAAATGCTAGTTGCTATAGTTGTTGTAGTTATAGATAATTTGTTCAGACACCTGGCACCCACAAATTATTGCCTTCACAATCCTATTTTGGAGAGTGGTGTTGACAAACAACGTCTATCTTATATCTTCATATCATAAAATTTTATGTGGATAAGGTTTGAATTCGGATGTACAACCCGCTTTTGACCCTTCCCAGGACCCCCAAACAAAATGAAGACTGTGTTGCTTCATCATGGTTAGGCTCAGTTTCCCTATTAGTTCCGCACCATTGATATCAGCCTGTCAGGGGTTCCAGGTCTTGTGTAAGCCAGAGTAAGGCTATCGGACAACCATTGCTGCAACCTCATATATTGGTCAGAACCCCCCAATGGTTGCATTCCTTTATTAGATCCATGATGTTCCTGTTAATTAATTACGGTAACCTCCCATTTAGATCCATTTAGTTTGGGGATTTCCCAGTTAGCCCTGTTTGATGACGAGGAAGGGTACCCGGTGTTGCTCTGCGCGGCTAATCGGCTAATTCAACGGCATCGTCGTGACCATTTCACCAGTTTTCGGGGGGCATGTCCACAACCGTCCAGCATCACTCATGTTTGTTGCTGACATGGATGCTTATGGTTATACATTGATTTCGTTTTGACGTGGAAAAATAGAGAACATTTGCTTATGGATGCATGTACGCAACCCACTGTTGATGGTTGGAATTCGTTGACAGTCTAGATTCATTGGCTGATAGACAATACATGACAATACAAAGCATTTTTGGCGATGCATCACATAAAACCAGAGGATATCTGATTTGTCAGATCCCAATTCTTGTTCAACACGACCACTGACATGTCGTACCACCACTTAGTTTGCTGATGTTGGTTGATGATCCAAACGTATTACGATCATAGACCTAACATGAGATCTGAAAATCCAATCTGACCACTAATGATATCCATAGTACGGCCAATCTGGAATACACAAAACGCATTACCTTAGCCTACCCTCTACGAATAGCTACTTCGGCGCCACTATGTCCCCATTTATGGCAAAAACACTATAAATAAACATATGTATATATATATATATTATACTGTGTAAATAAATATATATATATATATTACTAAACTTATCTTCGCAAAGGTTCACCATAAAATCAGTTGATTCCCCTTGAAAAACCCAGCCATTCAGCCGCCCCCATTGTCCCCCGTTTTTGGGGTCACCTCGGTCAGCAACTTCTCGACCGCGTCCTCCACGGCGTCTGTATCACCTCCATGCCTGACACGGAAATCCGGCGGGTCAATGGGGCTATCTGATGGGGTTGACCAAATGATCAATGCGATGCTTGAGAAAGCACCAAAAATGACATGGTCCATCGGGTGGTCAGCAAATTACAAAAATAACTCATGGGAAAAATAAAAAGGGGTTTTGAAGACAGAGAAACAAATCATTTTTATCATCTAGATGTGGATTTAAATATGTGGGGGCTTCATTATGTGTCACAGAAATCATAGTGGGGAAATATTCGACTTTACCCACGACAGTTCGGCATGGTTGCCTTAGTCAGCCTTAGTCATAGTGGCCTCATCCCAGCAAAATTCTTGGGAATACTCCGCCTTCCCAAAAGAGACTAGGCACCAGACATGGGCGACTGGTACCCATGATATCCAATGATTTGAATGGAAACAAATCATGACATTAAATCAGGAAGAGGTCAGCGACAGCTACGTAACATTACATAACTAGGCAACAGATGGATTCATGGAGCCTGTACATCTGTACATGATTGTCATTGTCCGACAATATGGGATTGTCTTTAAACAAATAAACAAACAACAAACCGTTGATGCTTAATGTTTAATCATCTTTAGCATTATCCTGTATCCTATAAAACTGTTGATGGTTCACCATCGCTGTCCCTTATGGTTCCTCTTTGAAATTACCACAAGTTGGATCTACATGCATAAGTGATGATAATTTTTTGCTGCGAGTCAAACAAACTTTTTATAGATAAACACATCGAAACAAAAAAACTCATCAGATTGTTTGCAGATTGGATGCTCAGATTCATTGTGATGCCTCCCATTTCAATTCAACAAACCTACAAACACCGGGCACGCCAGTCTGTTAGGTAACTTGGGAGCCACACAGCTAGGCCAATTACAGGAGGTTTATAGGGGATAGTGGGGGGCGTCAGCCTGTACGGCTGAGACTTCCTTCTAAGCATCCTATGATCCAGACCATGCTCACCTGTACCAACTTTCCTGCATGGTCAAGGTGCATGATGGTCTCGTCAGGAAAAGGTCTGCCCATCACATCTGTCACGATCCTGTGACTCGCCAGTCAAAGAGTCTGGGTCTGAAAATAGGGCACCCCCGAATTTTAGGGTCTGTCACCATGTTCCCGGTTATAACTGAACCATTTGGAGGTATGCCCCATTTTCAGACAAACTCATATTGTTGGGGTACAACTGGGTGACTGTTGGTGTAAATGTGTGCAAGTCGATTCCACACGGAGCCCCCATACGTTCGCATCTAAGGTGATGACTGCAGAACGTCACGCACAAATTGCACTGAGATGCACATACAACACGAGCGGCCTAGGACAATCGTCAACTTTATCTGGCGTAACGTGTGCATGTGTTTATATAATTACATATGTAGTTCATATAATGCATACGTTTATACATATAAGATATGTATATACGTTTATACATATATGATATGTATACTTACACATGTGTATATATATATGTATATGTTACATTATATTACAATTATTATACATGACTAGATATACGGATTAATATGTATATATAATTATAAATTATAATCAATTATAGACACATAACTTTTTATAAATGAGGGAGACAGACCACAAACTGTAGCAACTATCCAGGTAAGTAGACATCAGCTTACCAAGCGTCTTATCGAAGTTCCAAGCAATCTTGCCAGGTGGAGTCTTCGCAAGGAGGTATTTGTAGACGGCGTCATTCTCACTGCAACATTCAGCAGATTCTGGCATGCATGCATCTTTGCCCGAGTATGTACCTCAACACATCGCCAGAGTTCCCCACTGTGGAACACCACTGGTGATGTTCTAGTTGATTTGCTGAAGGCCATCAAAGAAGAAGAAACATAGAGCAAATGGTGAATGAACCAACAGAAAAATCACACTCACCTTGGGCAAATTCAGCAAATTCATGCAATCCAGAATTGCATGATGGCAGCCAATCTGCAGGAAAATTCCCAAGATCTGCAAAAATCAACTGGCAACTGGCAACCGGAACACCGACAACAAATTTCCCCAAAGCGACATTGGATCACGAGAGGCTACCCTCTGGTAATTTTAACATAGTTCAACCATTGAACATTGCCATTGATAGTTGATTTATGTTGATTTATGTTGATTTCCCTGAATTTCACATGGTGATTCTCCAGATTCGCCATGGCAAAGTCTATTCAAAAACCCCACGCCGGGGCACAGGGAAAGCCATTCAAATTGCTCTTGGCAAACATGATCACCTCACTGGATCGTCGGAAAAAGTGTTGGATATTTATCAACACCATTTGGTGTTGATTAAAAATTGTTGGCTTATGAATCATGTCAACCCCGGATTAATAAACCATGGTTTATTAATTAGGCGGGTACTCCTCCAATAGTCATAATCTGATACTTAAATGGTACCCTCCCAATTAAATAGCCTAGGGGTTTATTAATCCAGGGTTGACATTACATAATAAAATATAATCTATAATAATGCTTATGAATAATCTCCCATTCTCCCAATTCTCTACCATTGCTGGCGGATTGAAAAAAAATCCCTGCTTTGAGATGATCAAGTCTTCATTGTTTGTGCCTTCAAATCCCGTTTCTCATGATTAGGGCACATTATGATCACTGGCGATTGAAGATCCAAATGCAAGAGAAAGTGATGGATCTGCCGATCATCATCTTGCCTGTGAGCATTTAAGGAGCTTCCTACCAGATCACCAAGATGGTCATATATGCATCCCAGACACGTTGCTACCTTGACCTGCAGCGACTAATTTAAATCAGGACTCTTTGCCATATAGGGATTTAGAATGATGTGTATGTATATATTATATATATATATATGCACTGTATATATATATATATATATAAACAGTATATATACACTGTATGTATACACTGCACATATGTGTAATTATATATATAGTGTGTGTATATATATATGCCGTATATAGCCTGTGTATAATTGTACCTGTATATATGTATATATACAGGGAGAGTGGACACACTTCTAATGCTTGAGGTCCAAGAAAATGCTTCCCATGCGGAATCGAAGCGCATCTGGCAATTTAAGAATGCCTTTGTTTGGCGGTGAATACACACATCTATATATATATAATATATCACTTCCAAATGTGCCTGGCTGCACAGTCTCATTAAAAACAAAATCTGCTGAACCAAGCCAAGTGGACCATTTTTCGCCAAAGTAACCTGCATCCAAATGCCGGGTAATGCAAAAGATAGGTGAACCTTGACCCTCAATCAGTTTCAAGCGAACAGGTTCTTAGTATTGTCTTTCAGTAAATCCAAGCTACTTGGTAGCACTTGAAGTTTTATTTTCATGGAGAAACCAAACCCCAACCGAAAAAAGAAAAAAAACTGCTGCCGCAAGACGTACTGCTCCGCAAAGTCTTTGATCTCGGAGTTCTTCTTTGGCTCTTGGGCTCCAAATTGGTTGCAAGGAAACAGCAGAAACCTCACCTTAGACCAGCTAAATGGTGTTTCACTTGAGATGATCCACATCAAACACCAGCCGGGAATGTCTTGGCACGACCAGCCGGATCTCATGATCAGTATACCAGTGGATACATCAGCGTGTGGACAGCTCTCTGAGTCTTCGATGTGTGATGTGTGACTGGTTGGTGGTATACCTACCCCTCTGAAAAATATGAAATTCAGTTGGGATTATGACATTCCCAATATATGGAAAAATAAAAAATGTTCCAAACCACCAACCAGGTGACTATGTGTCACTATGTGCGACTCTGTGTGACTCTGTTTGATTGCTTGTCCAGCTTGCCAAAAAATCCATGGTTTGCGTATGAATATTCCTTCTTTGTTTCAACCAATTCTGGGAGATGTGTGGTCTACTGCTCTGCTTACAACTCATTAATCGAAGTGGCTATATTCCGTATACCGCTGGATTATAACAAAGATAGACAAACGTGAGTCTTCCTTGAACCACGCCTATGCTTGCAGTTCACTGATCTCTGTTGCGGATCTGTTGCGTTTCAAATCCTCTCCTACGACCAAGGCTACCAAGGAGCTTGTCCCTGTACAACTGGGAAATACACTTAACATTACCTACAGTTATGTGTGGTACATGGTATATCGTGTACATGTTAGGATCATATCATCTTGTTTGTAGGTTGAACAAAATAAAGCCGCAAACCACATATGTATAATACTTCATTTATATGATCTACACATATTATTTGATGTCAATGCACGCCACAAACGCCCGCATAGCAGTCAACTATGTCATCTTTCTAGGAATGCAGTCCTTAGTCTCTGTTCAAAATTGGTATCCACCAGTCATGTGAATCAAGCAATATATATTATAATGTGTATTACTAATTGTTCTTAGCTGGTATCAGTGCTATAACAGTCCATAGTCTAATAGTTTGTTTTTCGCATAATAACTATGAATTAACATCTTCTCAGTTCCATCTGGATGCTGAAGTTATAGGCTTCCCATCTGCTTGCTGTTCGCCAGGTGCCAATGGAGCCCAATAATTGAAATGAATGTCAAACAGGAGATATTGCAACATACGTTAACACCGACAAATTATATATTTTCAGAAATATACCCAATCATTGTTCGTTATATATGTATATAATATATGGCAAGGATATTATGATTGGGGTTTGCACACATGCCACAAAGTGGTGATTATGATAAAGCATCCTTTGTTTGGGAGTCAAGTGTCTTCACCCTACTCGCCATTTTGGAACAACACAGCGGAGTGTGTTCAAGTAGAGAACAGTGTTGATTGACTTGTGTTCATTGCATTATTCCCCCATGCTTTTTGCTGACTCAGTTGACATCATTTGGGCTTTAGTAACTTTAGCTTTCACCATGTAGCAGAACCAAACAGAGAAAAGCGGTTTGGTAATCGGAGCCGGAGTACCGGTCGATCAGCAAACGTCTTTTGCAAACGACTCAGCATTTCATAGTTGGATTCTGTGAATCCTCAGAAGGTGGCCACATTCATGACGACGCTCACATTGCCTCCACGTTTCAAAACAAAAGGGAAATTTCCCCAAGCTCACCCTATCCGACCCAGAACTGGTACCACAATGGTTTAGCCACATTCTGCAGGAAGTATAGAAAATGGCAAATACATAGTCCCTAAGACTGTGGTAAACCATCCCAGTGAAACAATCGATGTGCACATAGAACTGAAAACAGTCTTCACTTTGCTCCAGAACCTCTTCAACAAAAAAACATTGCATAGAAACTGCACCCCTTTTGGTGCTTGTTTCGTCACCTGGCAGAATCTGTTTAGCAGCTCATGGCTAGTTGGCATCGCCACATTTCACATGCTTTGGACACCAATCTTAGATACGCGGCAAAGGTTCTTTTTTGGATGGATGGTATTGGTATAATTATTCCTCCGTTTTTCACTTAACAAAAGTGACCAACTAATCAAACTACCTTTGACTGAGCTGAACTGCCAGCATGAAGGGCCTTTCACCTGTGCCTGAAATCGAGCCTTACCCTGGTCAACTGTTTCTGCCCTGCCCAAAAAACTGGCTATCTAGTCCATATAGTGCATATCCTAATTTAAGGCAACATATTTATCAGTCATGTCAACCGACCTGGATTCATAAACCCGGACTCTTAATTGGTGGGGCGTTCTGGCTACCCAAAAAATAGTGATAAATAATAGTTATTAACATCATACCCTCTGGTAAACTAACATAGCTATGGAAAATGGCCCATAGAAATAGTGGATTTACCCAGCTATAAAATAGTGATTTTCCATAGTTTTTTGTTAGTTTACCAGAGGGTACCCATCCAATCGGTTGACCCCAATTTCCCTGCCGTCCCTGCCGTCCACCTTCAAAACTCAAGGGCACCAGCTGTCCATTGATGTCCCGGGCTGACAGGTCGTAGAGGGAGGCTGTGGTGGCTGCCGCCACAACCTGAAGAGGCTTGGGATATATGTGTGTAACATGTATATATAAAAATATATGTACATACATACAATATACATATGAAACATTTATGTGTAGTTTCCCTCCAGCCTTGAGCCATATATATATATACATAATATATATGTATATACAATATATATATATGTACACATGTCACATGTGGATTTTGTATATGATGTACATATGAAATATATATGTACATTTGATATGCACATGCATATACATGCATCATTAGATGTATACATTATACAATTGTATGCATATACTTTATAACTTTATATATATATATAAATGTATACATTCACGTATATAAACTTCACGTGTACAAATACGATATGCAAATATACATAAATCAACATGTGCATATATATATATATACGTGATGTATTGCTCTATAAATATACTGTACAGGATTACACAGGAATCCCCAAAAGCTGTTTGCACATGGACCATGCGGATTTATGTGCAGAAATTGACCTGGCTCCATGAACAAGTGACAGAGTGGGTTAAGGTCTGTACATATGACATGACTGTTCCACTTGGGTCTATGGATCGGTACGTGTGTGAAATCTAGTCGTACCTACTTTGCGGGCCTTTGCATCGCCGAAAACTCCAATAAACACCAAGTAGACCACTCCTAAAACCCGCTTCAATGGTATTCCCATCATGGGTTGCAAAAAGCTCCCATCTGGCTAAAACAAGACAAACGTCAACCACTAGGGGTCAACTCAGCGCGCAAACAACCTCCTCATGCCTTAAACCCGGCTCAAAGAGTTTGCTTGAAAGGAGTGCCATATAGTGCAATAATGCCTCATACAGGATGGTGCCCCATAGTTAGCTAAGTTGGTTTATAAGTCCAATAACTATCAATAACTATGGTTTATAGGTGATATATCTATAGTTAATGGGAGTATAAATGTAACCCATTTATAACTGGGGGGGCACTCCCTCATAATTCCTCTCTCTCTCTCTCTCTTTCTCTGTCTCTCCGAGTCACCACGCCTGAATTGTGTGAAACCTTGTGAAACTCTGGAATAGTCAAACAGAATCACACATGATCTTCGTTAAATCCAGACAAAACAAAAAATAACAATCCATCAGCTACCAATCATTTCTGGAGGGCAATCCAAATGGTTTGGGTGATTAAACCCCATTGTGATGGTTGAATCCCTATAAGAATCAACCAACAGGTTTTAACTGGACATTGTTTAACAACGACAACTTCTTATGCGTCGGATCTGTCGCCTGCATCAGTGCCACGAAATGCCCTGCAGAAACCATGGCTCTACTGCTCGACCGACGTCGACGTCGTGCCGTCGTGGCGTCGTGCCCCTGCGCTGCTTCGTATGAAGTTCGGGCCAAAGCATTTGCAGGGTTTCTTCTTCAGTAGGCGAGTGTGGGCCTGGTCAGTATCATTATCTTCGGTTAAGAATCCCTCTGAACCGGAAGCTCTCATCAAATCTTGGGTCCTGCCACTCGTCAGTGGGGAAACTTCCCGTGACAGCATCCCTATTTCCCGATTCAATGTTGTTTGTTTGTTTGTGAATTTCACGGCCAGGCTTAGATTCTCGAAAAACATCGAAAACCACCAAAAACCACCAAGCGCTGTCTGCTGCAAAATGGTTCTCCAGTGCCAAGGGGAGTCCATCTGCCGATGTCCAGTTCTGAAATGATGCTAGTTCTGCTTGTTTTTTCTATGGACCATATCATCGGCAATGGCAACCTGGTGGTAAGCCATTCTCACTGGTTCACTTCGCTTTCTTAGGGGTTGGCTACCTAGTGGTGACTTGGGCATGGCTTCTCCCAGCTTGACAAATCAGTTTCCTCTCATCGGCGAGGTGAGGCAGCAACAACTCATCCTGAAGTTCGCTTCATCAGCTCATGGTTGGAGACCTTTTGGGCTGACCAATGTTGATCAAAATTGTCGTTTAAACATAAAACAATGAAGTATCCACACGTGAGGGCACCATGAAATATTGGGCTGGCATATCCAAAAAACATATGAAACCCATGGGATGTCAACACAAGGTGGTCCAGTACATTGTGTTGGCGTTCACACACAAAAAAACTAGTTGGATATATTCCCAAAAAAACAGTTATGTCCACCAAGTACCATGCTATGTGTGGAGGAAGAAAAAACAATCCCTCCACTTACCACTCATCCGGGCTGATCCAGCTCTGCCTCAACTGGTTGATCATCCGTTTCCCGCTAGACGGTCTGCCATGTTTTTTTCACCGACCCTTTTTTTTGGGGCCCGATTTGGGGTGAAGATTTGGTGTCCTTTTCCAAACAGCTCGGGTCGGTTTGACAAAACCATGTATGTTCGTCTGAATTGGCTGGTGTGTCCGCAAAAGTTGGCAAGACCGTCTAGCTTCCCAGGCAATATCAATGATATAGTTACTGTATGTATAGTGAGAACGATGCGTGACATGGACACTGAGGCCCGATATTTGTTGTTCTACAATTTTGTGTATCTGGACAAATTATACTATATCACAACAATTCAGCAACCTGAAAAGTTTGGCCATTGGGGGATAACCAGTCAGCCTCGCATTATCATTCCAGTGACGTTGCGATGTGAGGTCGTCATAATTCATCCAAATGTATATGTATACTATAATTATATGTAAATATATGTAAATATAATGTATATACACACACACATAGTATGCATATCCTAAATTATATGTGGTTCTCTGTATACATCCAGGAAATAGCTGGTATAGCCATGTAACCTCCAAAAAAAGATGTCCATCCATCGGGCTCCTCATGACTCTGATCGCTGTTGGTCAATTTTTGAATCACCCTATGGGGATAATGATTATCTAAAGAAAAATAGGTGTCCACCATTATCAAAAAAGTTGTCGTCAAACAAAGTACCGTACCACATCTTCAATAATCTTGGATTTGCTTGAGGGAGCCACCCCTCAAAAAAAAATAGAAAGATATGCAAGGATTGGATTCCCTAAATGGTGGATTTCCGCTTGGATTGAAGAAAAGGGTCGCTTGAAGCAGAAAAAAAAACACGTGCTGGTAAACCACTGGAGAAATCCTGCTCAAAGGGGATGTTCGATTGTTATGTATGATTACAAGAGGATCCTTGCGAAGCTGAAATACCCTGCAAACATAAGCTTGTAGCAGGTTCATGCCGCTTCGGTTGATACCTGTTTGTAGCCATAACTATTGAGTTGCACTCAGTTATCTAACCCATCCAGTAGGCATCGCCGCTTCGGACAAAGACGCAGATTCCAATGGTATAACAGATGATGTTGCTGATGAAAAAACATCCATCTTGTTGATTACCAGAGGGTACTCAATGATGGCATGCTGGACCATTCCCCATTTCGTTCGATTATTTCCCCATTAACACACATTGAACAAAAACACAGTGGATTTGTCAGCTAGCCATGTTTGATGACACCAAAGAACAATGGTTTGTTTGGAAAGAAAAATAAATGGGTCGCTTTGGTATACCATGTATCCTGGCAAATTACAAAAATTTTGGGATGATTCCAAAAAAACAAAATGATTCCAGGCTTCGGTCGCGACGTGAGGTCGTTATAATTTACCCAGATTTACCGGGTGATTGTGGGGGGACCCCACGGTCGCCTCGATTCGCGAGCCACCTGAGTTTTTTTCGAGGATGGCCAGGACAGCCAGCTGTGGATGGCCCATGATGGCCCATGGAAACTTCGATGATTTACCTATCAAACATATTCAAAGATGTTGATTTTCATTGATTTTCGGTAGTTATCTTAGTCTACTGGGTGATTCTCCCATGAAATTGATTCGAATGTTCTGTGGAAACCCCAGCCGTGATAAAACTGCAGGGTGGACATTTTTGAACGTTCTCAAGATGTCAAAGTGGATCCCATACGTCATATTTCCCAACATGACATGGCGCCTCAAACAAAGGGGGCCCCAGGGCCCCGTGAATTGGCTGGTCATGTCGTCATGTTCAACATGCATTTCGTGATAGCCAATCCTGACCCAACATGTAAATATAGTAAAGTGATCCCACCAAAAAAAACAATCACAGTAATAGCTATCAGAATTGTCCTTGAGGATGGAAATGGGGTGATTCTTATTATGGGCGTTATAACCTCTATAAGTTGGGATACCCCTATAACCACATCCACTTATCACCCTCGAAGCATGTCTGGTATCCACCTGTGGACCAATTCACAGCGAACAGCCATGTCATCCCGTCAGGGATCCTTAACCACTTAGATCCAATAGGGCACCAGTGCAATCAGATTGGTTCACCATATGTGGTTTTTGTATTGTCCCGGATCAATAAAGCCTCCTGGATTAATTAGCTTCTTAGACTCAAAACTATGAGAATCTGCCGCATCTGCTGCCAAGAGTGGTACCCCCAAATGAAACAGCCAAGGATTTTGTTGATCCGGTGTTGACATCACGCAACCATCTTGCAAGGATTATGCAACAGCTTCTTTACAGAGTTCTTTACAGTTGATCCCCTGCAAATTTAATGTCGCATTTCTAGGGCAATTCATAGAGGGACATGTAGGTTTTGGGAAAATTCCAACTTTGCATAGGAACATATCCGGAGATTTGCTTGCCAAAAATACTGTACATATAATACATGTAATGGGTAAACATGATGGCAAACATGTTGTCAAGAGAATGAATACTCAACATGAGCAAAGATATGTATGGCTTATGCATCAGAATCTATGTCTTACAGCTACAAGTCTTAGCGATGTTTAGTACAGTTATGGTGCAAAACCGTTCAAAATGGGCTGATAAGTATATTATATTTATATACTGTACATGTATTTAACCATATTATTAGTGCTAAGGGCCATAACTGTAGGACGTATTCCCCCAGTTTTCGAGTGCGAAGACATCTTTGGGTCGGATCTCGTTGAGAAAAGCTCTATTGACAGCCGCTTCAAAAAAGTGGTAAGCCCAATCATAGCAAAGAATGCCAAATGTCACAGCGATATGCATATGTACATATACATATAATAATATAAATTTAATATAGTATAATATATAATATAATATAATATAATATAATATATAATAATAATAATATATATATATATATTATATAACATAATATATAATATTGAATATAATATAAACTATAATATATAATTTAATATAATGTATATATAATATAGTATAATATAATATAATATAATATGTAACATGTATAATATATTGATATATACATAATATAATATAATATAATATAATATAATATATAATATATAATTTATAATATTTAATAAACAATATATAGTATGCAATTTATAATCAATTAAAACAAATATATATAATAAATAAAATATAATATATGATATATAAAATATATATTAATTAAAATATAATATATTATATAATACACAATATTATATTATATTATAATATATTATAATATTATATAATATAATATTGTGTAGTATTATTTAATATTATATCATATAATATTGTATTACATATAATATTATATATTATATTATGTTATATAATATGTTTATTATTATGATTATTATTACTATTATTATATATATATATATATGATCTCACGTTGAAGGTCTATTTTTTGGGTTTACTAACTTACCACATTCTTCAAGAAACACGTGGGACCCGCTGCTAGGTTCTTTTCAGGTCGCCAGAGTCGCATTAAATTTTTGCCCAGGGACTGAGCTGAGTGTTCATCACAAAGACAGCAGGGCCCTGCCGTTGCGCTACCAGTACCGAGCTGTGGACTCGAATCCCAATAGTCCAATACCCACGTGATACTTTGTTGAGTCCCTGCTAAAAGTGTATCTTTCTGGTGGGATAAACGGTAGACCCATGAATGCCAGAAAGGCTAAGAAAACATTGTGTGTGGTTACAATCATCCAGCCCTTCTGTTTGTTTAGTATCTGACCCATACCAAAGATTTGGGAAGTCTAAGAAAGAATGGGGGATATCCCAAAAGCCAATGGCCTTGAATCTTGAGGGTCTTGGGGTGTACCCCAAGAAGGAATCCATTCTGGATACAAACATGTCATACAATGTGGGGCCCCCAGTTACAAGTTGCTTTGCCCCATTAAGTATATAGTTACAAGAGTATCATAGAGATTCACAAAACATCTAGTTTACTATTGGCATCACCCCGACACACAAAGGGCCTCGCTTCCCAGCCCGAGCCTCGGACATGCTGGATAAGGAACTATGCACCACACACTTAAACATTATAACATATTATAACCTAATGTTTTTCGATGATAAACTAAGACCAATCCAAAAATGTGCGTCAAGATTTGGGGTAGCCGCTGTAGCCTCTGAAAGGATCATGAAGGAACGAAGCACTGAATGGAATGACGTATATACTGTATATACCGTATTTTTGGACAGACTCATCATGATACCCTTTCCAAAGCCAGAAAAATGTTTTTCTCTCTATGGTCATTGGCAAAAGATGCTTCAGGGAAGCTTCAGAATGCAGAGATAAGGGTCTACGCCTACGCCTTTCTCTGCGATATGCCCAAAGAATCTTGAAACGCTAAGGTGCAACATCGCAAATCTTCAGATCAAAACATTAAACAAAAGAAACAAGAGAAACTAGCGAAGCAACAACAGAAATAACAGCAACTACAACAACAAAAACAATATCAAAGGCTGAAGTGTCCAAATCCAGGTTGGTTCCCATCAAAATACTGGCAAATCACTAGCTTTCAAGAATCTATTGACTCTGGGTAGCTGGTGGATCATGGGCTTCTCTGAAAATACCCCTTATATAATCCTATGGTGAATCATCATTAGTTTCCTGTTAGAAAGGCAATTTGCAGGGTATACCCCATGTTCAGACACATCCAAATAATGTTATTTTGTGATCTAATGTGGTGTTATATATATATATATACAGATTATCCCATTGTCAAGCCTCAATTATGTATCATGAAACCCCTATTGTTGATGGTTAAATCACCATTCTATGACAATCCAAACATCATGGGAATATCAATCCCCATGAATGGACGGATAATAACCAGCCCATACCCATATGCGAACCATGGTGCTGGTATATTTACCGTTAACAACTGGGTGATTTTTGGGGCTTTTTTGTTGCTATGGGATACCAGCTACCATATCCCAGGCCGCTCGACTTGTTCCAAGCACTACGCCGCGTTAGCGTCACATCTGCGGACGACGGATTCGACGGATGTTTGATTCACCGCGGCCACTGGGATGTCCCTGAAGGACTTCAGGATCTCGCTGGTCATGAGATATCCATCTTACTCTTTGGTAATTTCACATACCCTCTGGTAAACTAACATAACTATGGAAAATCACCATTTTTAATGGGAAAACTCGCTATAAATGGCCATTTTATGCCATTTTCAATAGCTATGTTAGTTTACCAGAGGGTAACTATAGAAAATCACCATCTTTTAGGTAAAACATCGAACTAAACGGCAAAATGAACCTGAATTGTTCGTAGCAATGTTAAATTACCAAAGGATAATGATATAATGCATTCAGTTGCTATGCATTTACAGACTTCAGGGATGGTCCCAGTTGCAAATGAGCACAGTGAGTGACAAAGTCTGCGGAAAGATCAGCAACTTCAAAACAAAAAAACGTTCGGAAATCGTGAGTCAACAATCATCTGTCACAAAAAAGTGTTGTTCATTTGTTGGGCCCTGCAACATTTACTACACACACTCCTTACTTTGAATTTATTCAGCTCTAACAGTTAGCTCATCAAGTTCCACAGAGCGTCAGTCATCGATATCCGCAAAAAGCTGCCAAGGTCCAACTGATGGAGAGAGGCTGGGTGCTTCAAACCCGTTTTTATTGGCCGTTGGCCGTTTCGCCATCCTGGTGCCTGTGGCCTGAAGTCAGTTGATCGTGCCTTGACTATAAAAAATGGACGACTTAATGGATACCCAGAAGAAGAACTAGCTGGTTAGTATTTGTATACATTATATATATACAATGGGGTAATATATGAGTGGCGGACAAAATTACTTACTACTCGCAAAGGACATGGCAAAAGTGGGTGGGCCCCCATCGGTTGTGAAGGTTTGTGCTTCCGTTCTATGTGTCAAAAAAGGGTATCGGCAAGTGGGTGGTCCTCTATCGGTTGTGAAGGTTTGCACACAAATTTGAATATCCCAAGTCCATTCCCTACTGCTTTTGTCTTCCGGTAATTTTGTCGGTTACTCATAATATGGATATATTATATATATATATATATATATATAATTTTATATGAGTATCATATTTAATTAAATTAAATATGTATAATAATGTGTACTCATCGCCACCGAAGGTCCCCCAACGTTGCAGTCAGGTGTCATTCCCGCATGGAACTACGTCCCCCAACTGCCAGGAAAAGTCACCCCAACTTCTTCGCCCATTGTAAACGCAGCACGAAACTGAAAAAGTACAAAAAAACTACCATCCCAAATGTGCAAAACACAATCAGAACGCAAGTCACCCCAATGGTCTTAAACTATGGAAAATTATCAACAAAACGATATATTTTGATAGCCAAACACCATGTGAACGCATGATTCATGTATGTTTGGGTAGAATATCTCTTTTGTTACAAAACGCATCTAATTCGAATGTTAAAAGTGTAACAAGTACATCTAAGAAATGTCATCTTTTGGATCAAAACACAATGTGAACGAATGATTCATGTATGTTTTGGTATGTTTTGGTAACAAATCTATGGGGTTCTGATTTACATCTCAACTCAATATTTCCGCAACGGGTTCCGAGCGAGGCCAAAAACGAGGCCAAAACGAGGCCCGAACGAGGCCAGAAAATAGTTTTGGAACCCCCTCAGCTTTAGCAGCAGTACCACCAGCCCGGCAGCAAGTCTCTATAGCAGGAGTCTAGAAGCAGTCTGGCAGCAGCTCAGCACCGCAGCCATTTAGCATCAGCCCGACAACAGCCTAGCTGCAGGCCAGCATCTACTGTAATTAGATGAATCGATGCAACTACTCTAGAAAGGCACCACCCCCGGCAGCGCGACATGTAAACACGTGACTGGATTTGCTTGAAGGTCACATGAATGAGCCAGGCATGACAAAAAACAAGTTCACCAGTGTAAACACAAGCTAAATGAAGCAAAATTTACTTCTAAAGCATCATTTTCTATCTTACGCAACTGATCCACAGCAAGTAAACGCATGTTGGGGCGACTTTCCCGGGAAGTCCCCCCCAACTAAACGCAAGATTTTGGATCGGGCGGGGTGAGTTCACTATAGGTGAGTATATATATATAATATCATGTTGGTTTGCCTGAAAATAGGGTCCTCAAACAATTGATTGATCGTATGTTGTTCTACTGAATTGGCCACAACTTGGGGATCATTTGTTTACCCTTCACGAGTCGAGTCACCTAGTTGCTCACTCCAACGGTCAGCTCATGAATTTCAAAATTGTGCACCCACCTTCGGAAATGCCCTCAGCTATGCAACGCACATCATACACAACAGTCGGTTCCTCCAAAAATACTGCAGTCGGCAGGCTGACAACGGGTATTTCAACATATTTCACACGAAAGTTACTTAAGGTATTACAAGGTGGTGTCCCCTTTTTTTGCGTGCAATCCCAGTTCCTTGTGGATACCAAACAAGAACTGGCGAGCTTAGATAGTGATTTTCATGACCAGACTCTGGGGCACCACATCGTTAAAATCACCGTCGATTCCGTTACCCTCTGGTCACCAGCACAGTGCAACATAGCAATAGAAAATCCCAACCGTATTACTGGGAAGATACGGGATCATTATCTATATACAAATGGATTAAATGGATGAATAACAATAAAAACGCCAATTACAGAGGATTGTAGCCAGGTCAAGCACCTAGCTATTCCCACTCATTCCCATCGTCCACTTTTGCAGGACCCACTGCGAGCGGCCGCGATGCCGCTGAACCCCCACCCCCCAGGGGAGGCGCTTCAGCAAATACAACTTTCAGGGACACGGTGTCGGTGGGAGCGGCTAGTCCAACTGTTCTTGGACAATGGACATACCGTGACATACAGTACCCTCTGGATCCCTCTGGTAATTTAACATAGCTATTGAATATGGCCCATTTATAGTTGAGTTACCTATTGAAGATGGTGATTTTCAAACGCTATGTTAGTTTACCAGAGGGTACCACTACCACAAAAAAAAACTCACAGATTGCGGTGCAAATGTGCGACTTATTTTCCGAAGCTGGTGAGGAACTTGGAAGCAATCATCCAGCTGCTGACTGTCAAAAGACGCAAGTCATAGGTTTACAGAACAACCACAATCTTGGGCACAGATGCTGACAAAACATGGCTATGTCTCAGAATGAGTGCACGGCTAAGAACGAAAAATTGGCAATATTTTGAGTATATTGCTATACCATATGTGGTGGAGTTTGTGAAACATTTCATAACATTTCCACATCTGCTCCGCTGTGCTCAGTGATTTCTTCGATTCGCATTCCACTCTGCAACCCAGACAGCACAGTGCAACACGTATTTTGTACCGGCAGAACGAGTATGGCCGCCGCTGTGCGGCCAGCAACGTCGAAAGTTACCGCCGGCGCGGTACGGTGATCTTTCCAATGAACATGGCGGGTTGACTAATGGTACAGCCAATAAGAAACATGAATAAACCATCCCCAATTTTACTTGAAGCGGGTTGTAAATAACTTATATATACTTATATAACATAAGCATCCCCAAATGGAGGGTTCGTATGTGTTGTGTTGCTGTTGTTTCAAATCGTCACAGTGTCCAGAAACATGGCAGCAAAAGCTCCAAGAAAAACAACGACGTCTGCTGGATCGCATCTCTGACGCACACTCAAACAAAAGCTGTAAGTGTAAGGTACATAAGTCTTACGAGTACATGAGCGACTGGTCAAACCAGCGGAACATGTCCATTTCTTCTGTGAGTTGACATCAGAGTCATGGTTACTATTGCCACCTATGAAATTGAGTCAGCAGCTTGATGAATGGTCTATCAATTTCATCAAGAGTCACCTCAAAATGACATGTTTCTTGATCTTCATCTTCCCAAATGTACGTTATCTGCCCAACTATACCAAACAAAAACAACAACAACAACAACAACAACAACAACAACAACAACAACAACAACAACAACAACAAACAACAAACAACAAACAACAAACAACAAACAACAAACAA